ATTTTCCATTATTTTTCCCAAATAAATAATAATAATCAAGGAAAATAAAATTTTTCAAAATTACTCCTAATTCTTTGAAATAAGGGAAAAATACAATTTTCGGTCCAATTGTCTTTTGTCATTTCGACCGAGATAAGAAAAACTTGTTTCTTTTTGGGGGAAAATAAAATTTCACAGGGAAGAAAATTAAAAGAAAGGAAAAGAAATAAATTTTGTGATGGACTGGCCATTTCATTGGAAAATTTTCCTAACCCCTGAAAGTGAACAGGTGTGGTTTCTCTCAAACCGCAATGAATTGTTGAGAGTTTGAAAAAAACTTGGAATAATTTAGTTAAGAGCATTAATATTCCTTCATCTTTTCTTCTATGATTCGCAACGGGGGGAAATTTTCACTTTTCGCACGAATGGACAAGTTTTTATTTATCGAGATTTGTAAATTTTTCTTGAGGATCATATAGATATAGGAAATTAGTACCTACACTTCTTTTTTATTATTTACAAACTGAAAAAAAATTTGAATCAAATAAATATTTATTTTTATCAGATAAATTTTTATTTAAGTCGATTAAATGGTATTGACTTGAAGTAATTTTTATTCAAGTCAATTAAATCTTAAATACTTCAAGTACTGCAATTATTGATTAAAATACAATTCACTTGATTTAATTAAAAAATATTTTATTGAATTAAATACTTATGACTTCAAGTAATTTTTATTTAAGTCAAATAAATCGTATTAACTTCAACTAATTTTTAAGAGGGGCCGTTCATATACCACGTGGACAGTTTTTCAAAGATTTTTGACCCCCCCTCCCCCCTTGTGGACACAAAAATACATGGGATCGTGGACATTTTCAAACTTTTTTTAACCCCCCCCCCTCCCCCCAAAAGTGTCCACGTGGTTAATGGACGACCCCAAATCAATTAAATGGTATTTACTTAAAACAATTTTAATAAAAAAATATAACTGGTATTTATTTCAAATAGTTCAAATACTAGAATTATTGGTTCAAATACAATTATTTAAATAAATTAAATGCTATTGTACACTAAAAAAAAACTTTATTTGATTCAAATAACCGATTAATTGACTATTATCAATTAAATATTTGCTTGAATCAAATAATTTTTATTGGAGTCAATTAAATGGTATTTACTTCAATAATGATTCAAATAATAAAAATAATTTTTATTTAAATGAATTTAATGCTATTTGCCTAAAATACCGAAATTATTGGTTCAATTACAATTTATTTGATTTAAAATGATCCTTAAGCTCCGAACGTTCTAAGTGAACAAAATTGAATTTTTATTAAAATAATTTTGCGTCACTGTCAAAAAAATTAATTATAAAGTTTCTAAATGTAAAATTAAGTTTTTTAATTTTACATTTATTTATTGCTAAAAGTAATTTAGGAAAATATTTCGTTCATTTGAACCTTTGAACTTGAGAATCGTTGATTTAAATAAATTTTTGATTCAATTTTATTTACTTTTTTGTTAATAGACGGTTATTAATAATAATCGCTGATTTTAATATGTAAAAACAATTTTTTTCAGTGTAAATCTATAAAGTTATCAGTTGATTAATTACAATAAAATTCAAATATTCATTTGGTTAATTTTTCGTTTTTTTTCAGTTTCGATCATTTTATGTAAATGAAGAGAAATGTATTTGGCTATTTTTTTCCCCTGAAGAAATTAATTTCCTGATATTGTCAGTCATCTCACTTTCACTCAAATGGATTTATTATGTACAAATTGAAAATAAGTTTCCTTTTTATTCATCGCTTATTGAAAATTATTATGGCAATATAGAATACTTTGGAAATTGGATTGAGAAAATGATTTTTTATATATTGATTATCGATCGGAAGGAAAAATGGAAAACATGACAATTTTTGAGGTATACAAAGGAAGAAGAGACGTTGCTGACCGAAGCTATAAAATTATTTTCCACCCTCTTTCTCTCTCTCTTTTTATCAATATCCAGGAACCTACAAAATATCAAAAGTTTTTTTCTCTATGAAGGAATATTTTTTTCGAGAGACAGAGTGAGGGAGAGAAGGAGAGAAAAAAAAGAGACAATGAAGGGATAGGAGCATTGACCAATATTCTTGATATATAATAGTCAGCTAGTCATTCCTCTGGGGTACAGGTTTTTGGAGTATTCAGTGACATGTCACATGAATCATTCGCTCCTCGATGGTGTACTCATAGAAACGCAGGTTGTTTCCTTTTCTTCCCAGGGAAAGAAAATGAAAGAAAAGTGAAGAAAATGAATTTGGAAAAAAGGATAATTTAGGCTTTCATTGTTATTCTTGTCTGAATTTATTTCTCGCAAAAGGAGCGATTTTCCGCGGACACGATCCTGGATGCTCAATTGTGTGGGTGCGCCTGTCGTTCAAGTGTGCGTACGCACTGTACCTACGAGTCAAGACTACATACAGTTTCGTTCGGTTCTGTCTCGGGGTGGAGTCAAGGGGGAACAGTTCATCGGGCAAAAGGTGGGGATCGACCGAGAGAGAGAGACGAATAGATATGGAGTGAGCGAGAGGGCAAGATTGATGGGAAAAGAGACGGAGAGTGAGAAAGATGAATAGAATGTGAGAGAGGGAGAAAGAGGGAGGAATGGAAAGAGTGGTAGAGAGCGACAGAAGCTCATAAAAAGAGGAAACGAGAGGCACCGACTACCTAGAAAGAGAGGGGGAGAGAGAGGGTGATATATAGGATCATGGAGTGTTGAAGAGAGATAGAAACTGGCCGGGTGGCCGGTACCAAGAGAGAGAGAAAGCAATATAGAAAAAGGGATCGCGAAAGAGAGAGGGAGGCAAAGATGTGTAGAATGATTCGGGCCTATGGACACGCTCGCACCTCGACGGTCTGTGCCGCCGCCGCAGCCGCCTTCAGTGAAAATTGTGTGAACGCGCGCCGCCAAGGGTGGCTTTCCGGGAAGCTATCGTCGTTGTGATAGTAAAGTGTGTTGCTCTCGAGGAAGACGTGTCCATGGGCCAGAGAAGGATCCTGGCGCCAATCGCGAAGGACTCTCTTCGCTATGTGGAAAAGTGACGCCGCACAGTGAAGTATCGAGCGTTTACGAGAGTGGCGACGGCCGCCACGAATTCTCGGATGCCCAAGCGGAAATCTCCTTCTCTCTCTCTCTCGAGCGCGCGATAATGGCGTACGCTTCGACGTCTTGTTTTTTTTATTATCAAGTGGCTGAAAGTTCGATCAGCTCAAATGCCACAGAACCCGTGAACCTGTCGCGCATTCATTCGAATCGAGATCCACTGAGACGAATCATCAACGACAAGATGACGGACGACCTCGCCGAAAAGTGAGATTTCTCTCCTCCCGCACCATATCCCCTTATCCAAAAGATTGCACTCGGCATTTTAGCAAGTGAACGTTTTTCTTATGTACATTGTTGTGCACCGACAAAATTCTCCTGTGCATATTGTTGCTCAAGGACCTTGCCATTACGTCAGGTTTGTAAGTTAGTCTTGAATTTCTCTCTCTATCTCTCTCTCTCTCTTAATTCTTGTTTCCATGCCACCAAAAAGGTATCTTGATTTTTGAACACCGGCACTTGAATTTTATATTTCCTGCTCCGATCCTTTCTTTCCGGAGTTTATAGTTGATTCTATAAGAAGCGCTCGGTTTTCTCGACCTTTCCTTTCCTTTACGGAATTTCAAGAGGTCTGTCTAACAAATCGGCGCCTCGCTTCAATTTTCTCCGAAAGGTGTGATCGATTTTTTCCAAGCTACTCTGGTTCAAGGGTGTCCAGCACCGCAAATTATTCTTGCCTTCATTTTAATTTAAAAACAGATGATTCCTCAAGAAACATCAATTCAAGATTTATTTTTACACTATTAATAAGGAAGAAAATAGCTCGTGTCCAAGAAAACAAAATATTTTCCTCCGCTAATTTCTTAGCTTTTCTAAATATTTTCAATACATTTTTAATACATTTTTATAAATTTTTATCATCTTTTCAATAAATTCTTTACAGCACATGTTTTATGTGCTTTCCTCGTTTTCAATTTAATTAACACTCGCGATTTCATTGCTTTTTAGTTATATTTTTCTTTACTCCGTATCGTTGTCTTTTTTATACACATAAAAACTAAAGTGTTTTTCATTTCATCACGTTTCGAATTCAATCAACAATTGATGAAATTTAAAAGACTAGTTGCCTGTCGAAATAATATTCTTGGAGTCTACGTTTTCTTTACGTATTGCATTCATTGGTGATGATGATTGTGCAATTTCATTGAATTTGCTTTAGAAAAATAATTATAGTTCAATTTTTATTTATGTATCTTCCTTTTTTGGAAAAAAAAGAATTTTTTTCTATTCTCAATGAAAAGAAACAGTCACGTGAAAATTTGTTGCTGACATTTCTATTTTATATTATGAATTCTACAGCTGTTTTCAAATATTTCAATTTGATTAGTGTGCTGAAAAGTATAGTGGTAAAACTCAACTGAAACCTGTTATTGACTTTCTTTTTAAAAACGAATTGTATAACATTAATTTTCATAAATAATTTTTTTTATTATCTTTTCCCTAATAATTGATTGAAGAAAAAAGTATTTGGAGTGAAATGAAGAGGAATTAAAAATATTTATTTGCAGAAATTAATTGAACGAAGAGTATATTGAATACGTAACAGCGAAATTTATTCTCAAATAATCTATTTTTACTGCAGCTTTCTAGCCATTTCTTCAGAAGAGAGACTTTCAGGCAAAATGAATACATTCTGAAGGGGAAGGGTTATATCGGTTATGACATATAATCATAAGCGTATAGCTTTTCCCCTTTAGCGTGAATTCGTAACTTCAGTTTCTCACCATCAACAACTGTTCTACTCGAAAATATCGATTTTATATTTATATAAAAGTGTCTAGAATAAGTTTCTTTTTACTTTACTTGTATATTTGTATTGATTCATGTGTTATTGTTATTATTTTGATTAATATTTGGATTGATGTTTCAGGCTAAAGAAAGAAGAGACAAACATGGGTACGTTATTGATTATAGAGAAGATTATTCGATACTCTCTTAAGCCTGAGACGGAGGCGAAGAGTCGTGCAGCATAAAGACATGGACTCGTACGACCTGTTTGGAGAAGATGTCAGTGGCTCAATGCTCGATGCTCTTCCTGATCTTGGGGGGAACGATCATTTTGACCCGGCAGGTGCGAACAATTCTGTCGTAGTGTCTAGAGATGGTCCCAATCCTGGTCCCAATGGAGGTGGGAGTTACATCAGTCAATCGTATAGTTTAACTCAAGAATCTCCTCTTCAAAAATTGACTTCGTTCGGTGGATCTGAATTTGGTAGTAATAACCCCTTGCAAAATCCCTCGCAACGTAGTATGTTTAATCAAAATATCGGCACTTTTGACGGCGGCGCACCGCAACGAGCGATGGTGCCAGGAGCCTTTCAAAATCAAGCGCGTAGCTTAGCCCCCCAGCACAGAAGTCCCCATCCTGGCACTGGGGGGCAGTACCCAACTTATAGTGACAGTATGTACTCAATGGAGCAGCAGCATCCAATGGCCAGGGCCAACATGAGCATGGACCCTGCAATGCAAGGATGGCCAGGTGCAGGAAACGCTTATCCTCAAATGCAGAGGCATTATAACCAAATGGCACCTCAACCTGGTACTTATAGGCAACACATTCCTCAATATCCCCATCAGCAGGATCAAACCGGGATCAATCAGAAAATACAGCAGCAACAGCAGCAGCAACAACAACAGCAGCAGCAACACTTCTCTGCTCAACAAGGAATGATCAGCAATATGGGTGTTCCACATCAATCAATGCAAACCAACGCAGCTACCGGAGTTTACCAACACATGGTTGGTCAACAACAACAACAGCAACAGCAGCAGCAACACTATCAGCAGAACAATCCTGCTGCCATGTATCAAGGTGCAGCTGGCTACACAGGTTTCGGTGCCACCATGCACCAACAACCCCAGCAGCCTCAACCACCCCAGCAGCAGGCGCAAAGAATGCCTCATCATCATCCGTCCCATGCGCCTCATCAAACTCATCCCTCTCATCAACAGTATCCTCAACACGCACCACAACATTCTGTCAATCAGCAACCACCCATGGATCCTCAGTATCCCCATCATTCGCCGCAAATGTTCAATCAACCTCAACACTCCGCGCCCGGACCACAGTTTAATGCCAGTAAACATGGTACGAGTCCTCAATATCGATCGTCATTTCCACAACTCTCGCCACAGATGTCTCCTAGGCCACAAATGTCGCCCAGACCGCCTCCAGTTCAACAACAAATGTCTCCTAGGCCAATTATGTCACCCGCTAAACCCAACACTCTCTCGCCTCATCCACACGTACAAATGCCACATCAGCAGCAAGGACAGCCAGGTCCCTTGTCTGTCTCGCCCTGTCCTCCGACATCAATGCCAATGAATCCATCTGCCTCGTCGCAACAAACCACTCTTCAAGCCCTGGAACAAATGGTCATACCGGTAGCCGTCTCGAATCCCAACGTGCCAAGCCAGGACTATGTACAGTTCCAGTCGCGACCGCCAATGTCGCACTCTTCGAACATTTTACCCCAGCCGCCAGCACAAAACTCGATGCCACCGGTGACTGGACCCAGGATGCCAATGCCCCAATCTTGGCCGCCTCATCCTCCTCAACAACCTCCTCAACAACAACAACAGCAGCAACAAATGTCACCCATCAGGCCGAGTATGTCCGTTCCCGACAACCGACAAATGATGGAGTCCCAGTCGCCCTCGACCTCCGAACAAAACTCCTCGCTGTTTCCAGTAAACGGCAACGACAGTATTCACAACGTAGTCGAAACAACAACCACCGAACCGCCAAAAATCGTGCAAAGTTCCATCGCACCCTCAGTGACCGAGAGCAACGAAACGCCCGATCAAACCGGCGCGACTCCAATGCAAAGTTCCGAAGTAATGGCTCAACAAGGCGGGAGTCCCGCGCCGAGTAATTCCTCCTCCATGGAGCAACCACCGAAGCAAACCCATCTCGAGCCCGTTCAGTCTCTGCCCGTCTCGAGTACCAGCAGCAACCTAGAGAGCAGCCACGACTCGCCACAATTGCAATCCGTTCAACAGCAATCGCAAATGCAGTCCTCGCCAGCTCCCAGCGTCGAATGCAAAACGCCAGACACTCAAAGCAGCGAACAGACTTCCGAACTTCCAGTCTCGCAACCACAAGCCAGCCAATATGGACCTTCTTCGCCTCACGTTTCGCAGACGTCGCCCCAACACTCGCAGCACCTTCCACCACACTTGAGCCAACCGCAAATCGCCCAACAAGTTCCGCTGCAAATTTCGCAGCAAGTTCCGTTGCAAGTTCCGTTGCAAATTTCGCAGCAAATTCCCCAGCAAGTTCCGCAGCAAATCTCTCAGCAGATTCCGCAGCAAATTTCTCAGCAGATTCCGCAGCAAATTTCACAGCAAATTCCCCAGCAAAATCCGCAACAGCAACAAATGGTCCAGTCAATAAATCAACAACCCCAACAATCGCAGCAAATCTCCCAAACGCAGTCGCCACTGAGCCAAACTCAGCAACAACCACCAATCGGACATTCTCCACAGCCGCAGATCAGTCAGTCCCAGACGCCACAGATAAGCCAATCGCAAACTCCCCAAGTGAGCCAATCGCCCCAACTAACTCACCAGCAAAGTCAATCCCCACAGATAAATCAAACCCCCCAAATAAGTCAATCGCAATCGCAATCGCCGCAAATCAGTCAATCACAAATGCAGACGTCTCCACAACAGCCGGTGATGTCCCAAGTCGCGCCAATGACACCGCCTCAGCCACTGGGTCAAACACAACCAGTATTAGGTCACTCACCACAACCACTAATGACCCCTCAAATGGGACAGAATATCCCCCAACAGGTGAATATAATTTCACCGAATTTACCCACGCAAATTTCTTCTTCTTCTCATCAACAACAAATACCTCCACAGATTCAAAATTCAGCGCAGCAAATTCCAAACCAAGCAGCACCGGCTCAACAAACGGGAATGGGAATGTCACCACAGCCGGGCTTTGGGGAGTACACGAATATCCAAAAGCCGAATAGTATGTATCCTAATGATATGATGGTTGGTGCCGGACAACCATACCATACTGGTAATGAGGTTGTTGGTAGTAGTGCAATGCCGAATGTGTATGGAATGCCACCAGGAACAACGCCAACGCCCGTTGCGCCGGCTGCCTTTAGTTCCTGTGCTCCGGTGACTCATCATCAGGAAAGGGCGGCTCTGCAACAGCAATTGCAGGAATTGTATTGCATGCCACCGGCGCCTGAGAATCAGGAGAAAATTGTCAATCTTCAGGAGAAATTGCAAGCACTTCAGCAGCATGAGACGAATGAACAGTGTAATGGAGGACCGCAGTGCATTCTTCAGACTCCGATGTTCACTGCTGCTGCTGTTCCTGCTCCTGCTCCTCTTCCTACTCCTCCTGCTCCTGCTCCTGCTCCTGCTCCTGCTCCTGCTCCTGCTCCTGCTGCTGTTGCTGTTGCGGCTACTGCTACTGCTACAACTACTGCTACTGCTACTGCTACTGTTGTTGACAGTCCTCAGGTTAGTTACACTTTTTTAAAGTATTTTTTATAATTACCATTTTTATATTTACCAATTCACCTAACTTGAATTTTCCATGAAACAGAAGTTAGCAACGTTTCCGTTGAGGCACAAAGAGACATTTTAAAAAAAAAAAACGAAGAAGCAAATAATTTTTTATAAAGAGAACTTAATTTCGACTTATGTTAAAAAATTGTGACTTTTTCTACTTTTCTTTCAAATTTTGCGACAAAATACCATACTTTTTAGTGGTTGGGGTGCAGTTTTTCTAAAATGTATTTTCTAATTTTTTATTTTCTGAAAATTTTTTTTCTAATAAAGGTGAATTTCTAAGAAACTCTTTTCTAAGGAAGAGGATTTTCCAATTTTCTTTTTTCTAATAAAGGTCATTTTCTAAAAATTTCTTTTTCTAATAAAAGTAATTTTCAAAATTTTTTTTTTAACAATACTTGAAATTTCGTTAAAAAGTTATATAATAAAAAATAGAAATTATGCAAATTTTTTTAACTAAATTTTAAAATAATCTAGTTAAAAATCGTAATTAACAAATTGAAATTATAGGGATTTTTTTCCTAAATATATTTAAAATTTTTTCAAAAACTGTTTTATAAATAAATTAATTTTGGAAATTTTGATATAAAAATGATGCAAATAATTATTTTTTTTCAAAAATAAACAGAATTTTGTTAACAAATTGTGATAAGAAATAGTAATTTTATAAAAAATTTTCTACTTTTTCAAAATCTACTATTTTAATAAAATTTTCCGAAAAGAATTCAATTATTTACAATTTTTTAAATAAATTTCTTGGCAATTATTCAATTATTTTTATAAATTTTTAAGTATTATAAAATTTATATTATTATAAATTGTTTAATTTCAAAAAAGTTTGAATTTGAAATTTTTTAAGTAATTTCCTATGAAAAAATAATAATATTTGAATATTTATTTAAAAAAAAGGTACTGATGTTTTTTGAATAATTTTTCAATTAAAGAAATTCGTAAATAAATGTAACAACATTTTTTTGAGTAAAATTTTGTCCTTTATTTTCTAAAAATTCAAAAATTTTCATTTTCAAGTACAAATAGAATGTATAAACATTTTTTTCCTTTATTCTTAAAAAACTTTGAATTTTATTAAGACAATTGTAATTAAGAAATAGAAATTATGTAAATTATTTCCTTATGAGAATTGAAAATTTTCTAAAAAAATTTGAAAAAACGGGAATATGTAATGTTTTTTTCCCAAAATAATAGAATGAGTTTGTGAACAATATTATAATTGAGAAACAGAAAATATGCAAAATAGTTTCTATTTCTTAATCTTAATTTTTTAACAATTTTTTTAACTTTTATCAAAATTATGGAATTTTACAAATTTTAGGAAAATGAATATTAGAAATTATAACTTTTTAGAAAAACTTTTTTTAAAAATCAAAATTTGTTAGAAAAACGTTTTTTAGAAAACAGATTTCATTAGAAATCGCTTTTTTTTAGACAAAAAGGATTAGAAAATATTTTTTAGAAAAAGTGACCACCTACCATTTTTAGTATAAAATACAACTTATTTCGATTTTTATAGTGTGAAAAGCATAACTATGGACAAATCTTTGAAAATTTATTTTTGAATAATTTTTCTAATTACATTTTTGAAGTATACAATTAAAAAGATTTTGAATAATAGAAATTTTGGAAAATTTAATTGAAAATAAATCATTTTTTCAAGTATTTTTAATTAAAATTCTTTAAAGTTTTTTTTAATTATAAAAAAATTCTTCAATTATTTTTGAAAAATTACATTACAATATTTAAAAAAATCTAATTCTTTGAATTGTTTTATCATAATTTTTTAAAATTCAATTGCTTTCGATCAAAGTAAATTAAAATATTCAAAAATGTACTACTTTAGAATTTTTGGAAAAATCATTTATAATTTTAGAGTTGAAGTTTAGTTAAAAATTGTATAAATTTAACCTTTTTTGCTTCATTTCGTCGACGTAAACGTTGATAACTTCGGTTTCATAATTTTTTACTAATTTAATTCTAATGCCGAAATACGAAAAAGAAAAGTGCTATGAAATACGAATTAAAATGACTTTTACTACTTTCAGAGTAAAACCAAAACTAATCGGAAATTTCTGCGCATTTCTACTTTGCAACTTTCAGTATTTGCGGAGTAAATTTTCCACGTTCGAAGTATATTTTTCAGACCTTGGATATTATGATTTTTTGGACCATTTCCGACAATTTTGAAAAAAGACGATATTTTCCATTTTTTTAAAAAAAATATGACTTTTTCGACTTCTCTTACAAATGTTGCGAAGAAATACTATTTTTTGGGTTTAAGGCTGAGTACAGAATAGGTTACAAAATTAAGTGGCGAGTGGCTAGGGTGGTGAGTGTCGTGGAATGTACAATAGTGGGGGCAACTTTTGACTTTAAGTTTAACCTTTTTCACCTCAACTTTAAGTTGAGGTTACGATTTTCTTTTTTTTTCTTTTTTTTGTTTAAGAGGTTACGATTTTCGAAATTTGAAAGCACAAATCTAGGCGACACTGCCCCCACTATCGTACACTCCACGCCACTCGCCACTAAATTTTTTAACCTATTCTGTATTCAGCCTAAAATCCAAATTATTTCGTCTTTTAGAGTGTGAGATATAACTATAGTCAAATGTTTTAATATAATAATTGAAATAACAGTTTAAACAATTTTTTTAGATAATTAAATTTTCAAAATACATATATCATTAAAGACTTTTTAAGATTTTAGAGGAAACAATCACTTTTAGAATTTTTAATTTAATTTTTTTAAAGAATTAATTAGTTTTATAAATTATTCTGAAATTCTTTTACAAAAATCAATTATTTAAATTTTTGAAAAATATAATTAAAAAGTTTTTAAATATTTGTAATTTTGTAAAATTTTACTGAAAGTAATTTGATTAAAAGTTTTTGAAAATCAAATTTTGAAGAATTCTAATAATTAAACTGAATAATATTGAATTGTTAAAAAGATTTTTCGGAAAATATTAAAAAAAAATAATCCAGTTTTTAAATGATTATTAATTAAAAATTTTGAAAATATAATTTTCTTTTATTTAAGAACGAACATTCTCTAAAGTAATTGGATTCTTAAGAATTTTCATAAAAAATCTTGAAATAAAAGTTTGAAAACAAAACATTTTGGATCACCTTAATAATTTTTTTAAAAGAAAATTTAAAGACTTACAATTAGAACTATTATAAAAAATTGAATTTTTCTATTTAAATAATTGAATTTTCGAAGCTCTCGAATAATTACATTAAAATAATTGATTTAGAGAGTAGTTTTTTTTAAACTCTAAAAAATAATTGAATTTTAAAATTATAGTTGTAATTTTTTTTTATTTTTTTTTATTTGGAAACAATTGAACTTCAGAAGTTCTGAAATTTAAAAAATTTTAATTCCAGTGGAAAAATAAATAACAAGTGGTCAAATATGATATTTAACAAATTTATTAAAGTTTTGAATAATTGAATTCAGAAATCAATAAAAGGTGAAGGAGCGTAGCAAAATTTAAATATAAATATTAAAAAAATATTAAATATTGAGAGTAAAAAATTAAATATTAAATAATAATATCAATATAAATAAATTAAATTAAATTTAAATATAAATTATTATTATTATTATTATTATTATTATTATTATTATTATTATTATTATTATTATTTTAATTATGAAATATTGGAAATATTAAAAGTTGCAAAGCAGAAATTTGCAGAAGTTCAAAGCAAAAAAAAATTGTAAAATTTGAAAGACAATCGTAATTGTTTAATCATGATTGTTTTTTAACTTTAAACAAAAAGAAACACAAAAATCTGCGTCACAATTATTGAATTTTTTTATTTGAATTTTTTTCTTTTAACGAAAATCGTACAATTCGGTATTTTATAATTTATAGTTAAATTAGTTTTATTTTGCGGTAAGAGGACTTTTTGGTCCGAAAAGTAACTCAACTTTATCTCCAGTTAAAAGAAAGATCAGAATACTTCTTAGGAATTTTTCAATAAATTATTTAAATTATTATTTATTTCAATAAATTGCTTAACTTTTTTTTTATTTGGACAAATTCAGATTAATTAATTTTTAATAATCAGAAAAATGAATCAGACGATGTTTTGATTTTAACTCGATATGAATTTCAACCTATTAGGAATGTTTACAAATTATTTTTAAAATATGTTTACCAACAGTAGATTAGAATTCACTTACATTTCACCTGTTCATTCTCGAAAGTATTTTAAATCTCTCTCCTTCATTCTTTCCTTTATCTAATCTTCCTTGAAGTTTGTTTGAATAATCTTTTAGTTTCTCATTATCCCGCCTTATCTTGAATCTTGAAACTGAAAATTGTGTATAGGTTTCGAGTACAACTGGCCGGGGTCGTAGTAAAGGAACGCCAAGGGCAAAGAAAAGTCGCAAGAAAGCCGATAAGGAAGCGGCAGCTCCTGTGACACCACAAACTCCGCAAGCTGAACAACCGTTATCTGATAATCTAGTCACTCAAGGAGACAGCAGCAATGTTGTGGACAGCGCGGCCGACTCTGAAGACATAAAGCCGTCCTCAGGTGACATCGAGGAGGAATGGAACAAGACAAGAAAAGCAAGATCGCCCAGAAAGCCAAGAAAGCCGAAAGAACCCAAGGAACCAAAAGAGCCGAAACCGAAAAAGGAACCTAAGCCACCGAAGGAGGCGAAACCGCCGAAAGAGGCGAAGGTCCGCAAGAAGAAGGAGAAGGAAGTCAAGGAGGGCTCTAAGCGAAGTAAAAAGTGAGTTGCTATTTTTCGTTGCATTCACCAAGTGTTTTAAATATTTCTAAGACTAAAGAATAAATATTCTTTACTCATTCGTTATTAATTAATTATTATTCATTCCTTTCCTTTATTTTCTTTTCGATTTTTAGGAAAGCCGCAGTTCAAGCAGAGTCTACAGATGATGTCAATGAAGATGTCTCTGCGAGTGATTCGACAGCAATTCAAGACTCAGATATTAAGTGCAGCAATTCGTCAGTGCAAGACGATAATGAGCAAGTGGATTCATCGACAAAAGAACCATTGGTTTCAGAGTCGAAGGACGAAAATGATGAAAAGGGAGAATCGGGCGATGCTGGCGATGATAAGAAAGAGGAGGACAAAGATGCTGCAACTGAAAGTGCAACACCCGCGAAGAAAAAAGCCTCCAGTCGAAAACGTCCCTCTGGTGGTAAATCGACAGCTGGAAAATCACCACGAAGTTCCAAGTACGTAACATATTAACATATTTTTCTACAAAGTTATTAACATTTTCTAAACTTATTTCAGGGTTTGCCACAGGTCAGAAAAATCAGAGAAAGTAAATTTGGTTAGGGAAATGAAAGTCAGGAACTTTTCCTAATTTTCGATTCAAAATTTTTAAAATTAGGAAAATACTGAAAAAAAAATTTAGAATTCGTAAGAAAATTCTGGATTTTGGTGTCCAGGAAACTTTGAAAATTTGAAATATTCTTCTATTCTTCTTGAATTTCTTTTAGTTCGCCTTATGAACTTTGAAGTCACCACGAATTTTAATAGGAAAGCTTAAATTTTTTTTCTGACAATAATTGAACTCTACAGAATATGAAATCAAATTTATGGTAATCAATTATTTAATTCTTGAAAAACTTGATTTTTTAATAAAAAAATATTACAGATTATTTAACGAATAATACTACTTGAAAACTCGGAAAATAATTAAATTTTATAAAAGTAGTTTTTACAATTTTTATGAATAATTAAATTTTAAGATTACAAATTGAGATTTTAGAAGATTAAAATTTTAAATAATTTTAATTGAAAACTCCGAAAAACAGAAATCACTGACTTCACCATCTCACCTTCTCACCTTTTTTCACTTTTTTAATATTTTGTCACCTATTTCACTTATTTCGTCAATATGTCACCTATTTTACGTATTTTTTGTAAATTTTCCTCTGAATTTAATTTTTCAGCAAAATTGTTAATCTTTGAAAATTCAATTTTTAATTGAGCTCAAATTCAGTTGATCTAAATTTCAATTTATACAAATTTGAAACAATGTAAATTTCAAATTTTGATCTTAATCAATTTCGAATTCAATTATTTTAAACTTCAATTTATATGCTTTTTGTTTTGATTTATTTATATTTTAGGAACAATTTTGCAAAAATCAATAAACTATTTTCAGGGTGTCCAGCTACCTTGAAAACCTTAAAAACCTTAAAAAGTACTTGAAATTCAATTATTTTCAAAAAATTAAAAAAATTGTGGTCAACAATTCAATTATCTTTATCAATAAATAATAATAATCTTCGACAAAGTTCAATTATTTTAAGGAATTTTAATAAAATTCATTGCAAAATTCAATTATTTTCGTAAATAATAGTATTAATCACAAGAATTCAAATATTTTCAAAGATTTTAATAAAAATCATGGCAAAATTTCAATTATTTTCAAAAAATTTTCTTACTTCGATGGTTTTCAATATACTACTATTTTAATAAAATTTCCCGAAAGAATTTAATTATTAAACAAAAGTTTTTAAAAAATTCTATACAAACTTTCAATTATTTAAAAAAATAAAATTTTACATTAATTCAATTATTTAAAATAGAATTTGCATAATTTTTTTTCGCGAAAATCAATTATTTTAAAATTTGCCATTAAATTCTTAGCAGTAATTCAACTATTTTCAAAAGTAATAAAATTCAATTATTTTCAAAAATTTTAATAAAATTCATTGCAAAATTTAAATTATTTTCAAAAAAATTTCTTAATTCAATAATTTGTATATCAATTATTTTAATAGAAATTCTCAAAAGAATTCAATTATTTAAAAACAATTTTGATTGATGTTTCTTAAATCTATGTTCTTTATATTTCTAATATTTTATCAATAAATTGTATTTAAAGTTATGTATTTATTTATTTATTTATTTTGTATGTAGAAATTATAAAATTTTTTATAAGTACTCTCTAAATTTGAATTAGTAAAAATGTTTACTAATTTGAATTAGCGACTGACTGAATATAGATAATTGATTTAAAGAACAATTTTAGTTAAAATTTCTAGAAGATAATTAAATTGAAATCACAAAAATAATTTTTAAGAAATTACATACAAAAGAAATTCTTATAAATTATTGAATATCAAAAGGTTTAGAATTTGAAAGTTTTGAAAATTTTAATTCCTGTGAAAAAATAACATTGCTGAAATATTTATTTGAAAGAAAAATTATTGATGTTTCGAAACTTTTCTTTAAAAAACAATTTTATTAGGAAATTTTTCCAATTCTTTGGAACAAATTTTTATTTTTATTTGGATATTTGGAATATTTTTATATATGTGACGCGACACGAGAGAAGGGACCTATCGTTAAAAAAATCGATTTTGAGATTATGGTGCTATTCGATAGATTATTCTTTGCTCTTTCACGTGAAAAAATCAAAAGTTGAAAAACTTAAATAGTGTTAATAATATAAAGCCCGAAAGTTAAGCATGTACGCGTAAATACACGGGTTTTCTGCGCATGGCGTCGCTTTAAACGCTCTCCCTGTAAAATTCTCTTTTGCGGCGATAGGTCCCTTTTCTCGTGTCGCGTCACATATATGTAAATATTTCCAACAGTATGACAAGAAGAATTACTTTTCCAATAATTTTGAAAGTTCTTCCTTTTTTTCTGTAGAAAATTATATCGAAACTTTTTACAGTTTGCATCTAATGATTTTTAGAATATTATTTAGTGAAAAAGTCTTTTCCTTCAAGGAAAAAGTCAAAATTCTGTCTGGATATCAGGGAAAACAAAATCAAATTTTTGTGGCAACCCTGATATTTATACAAATATGTTTAGATACTATAATATTAAGTTTGCTAAACAAGAAAATCGTAATGAAGTTTTTTTGCTTTTTTTCGCCGCAGAAAACGAAAGAGTCGAATTGCTCCGGATTCGGATGGCGAGGAATTGGCAGCTACGCCTCCACCATCACCGGAAGCCGGGGACGATCTGAATAAACGAAGATCAGCGAGAAATACACATCGAAAGAAGTACGTCGATGACGTGATGCTTCGCTTCTCCGACGATGAAGTTCCCCTTCAAGACGCTCAATCCAACAAGAAATCTGAATCTTCAGGTCAATCGAAACCGACATCAGTCAAGAAAGAGCCTGTTGAAGGCGGAGAAATTGGACCGAACAAGCCAAACTTTGTATATATTGTAAGTATAACATTGTATTTATCAAAAAAGATTTAAAAAATAGAAATTTCTTGATTTCATTCATATTTCCTGCTTACACAACGATTTTTTTCTTATTTTCCAAAGAACACGACTGACGAGGACTCGATGGTAGTTCAGCATTTCCTGGTTGCTCGCATGGGCAAGCGAGAGGTGAAACCAGCGCCAGTAGTTGAAGTGAAAAAGGAAGAGGAGGAAGAAAAGACTGAAAAGACTGAAGAACCTAAATCTGAGGTTGACGATAAAGAAGCGGAGACGGCGACTGTCGAGAAAGACACGAAAGATGAAAAACCAAAAGAAGAAGAAGAAAAGGAAAAGGAAAAAGAAGAAGAGGAGAACGAAGAGAAAGTTGAGACGACCAAGGAAGACAAAAGTGACGATGAAGAGACTAAAGAAACAGAAAAAGAAAAAGAAACGGAGACAGAGACGGAGATGGAGAAAGACAAAGACATTGAAAAAGAAAATGATGATGGTGATGAAAGCAAGGGCAAAGAACTCGTTCCAACGACACCGATATCTTTAGACACAAGTACCGAAGCCAAACCTCAATGGATTGAAGTTGAAGAGTATTTGGTGAAATATCGTAACTTCTCATATCTTCACTGCGAATGGAAAACAGAGGAAGAACTCTATAAAGGTGACAAGAGAATCCAAGCGAAATTGAAGCGATTTAAGCAGAAACTTCAACAGAATACGAATATTTTTGAAAATGTAAGTTTTTGTTCGCCTTTTTCTCAGGTTTAGAAGTTATTTTTATTGATTTCTTTATATTTTAAAATTTTTTTAATATGTTATTATTTATTTTATTATATATCTATATTTTAATTTTTTTTTTTTTTGGTCTAGAATTTTTGTGATCCAGAAAAAATTGCACTCTTCCATAAATTTAACACAATTTTATTAAAAATTCTTTATATTTTACTTTTTGAAAAACTGAAAACTTGATATAGGAGAAAAAAGAAATTTACGATTCGTTTTCATTTTACAGACTGAAGACGATCCATTTAATCCCGACTTTATTGAAGTGGACCGAGTGTTAGACGAAGCAACACATACGGATCCTACGACTGGTGAAACGGTTCGGCATTTCTTGGTCAAATGGCGCTCTCTTCAATACGAGGACTCAACATGGGAACTGGAGGAAGACGTTGATCCAGAAAAAATTGCACTCTTCCATAGGTTTAACAAACTTCCACCTAAAGATCAATGGAAGGTAAGATGGAGTGTAAATTATCAATTAGAAAAAAAAATTAACAATAATTTCAACATTTAACAACAGGGGTAATGATAATGAAACAAAACTAAATTAGAAATTTATTTTCAATTTAGTTTCGTGTCGACTCGAAACTAAAATTACTACCAAATCGAATTCAGTTTTATATTGACTCGTTTTTAAATTTAAACTAAATAATTGAGTTTCTCAGACATTTATTTAAGATTTACACTGAAATAAATTCAGTTTTTCATTTTTAAATTCAATTATTTAGCTTTGAGTCGTCACGAAACTAAATTCATTTTGTTTATTTAGTTTCGGTTCAACATGAAACTAAATTCATTTTGGAATCGAAACAAAATTAAATTCAGTTTGTTAATTTAATTTCCACAGGAAACTAAATTCAGATTATTAATTAAGCTTTGTATCAACTCGGGAACTAAATTCAATTTGTTAATTTAGCTTTGAATCAATTCAGAAATTAAAAAGAAACTATTAACTTTCGTGAAAGTCTTTGTTTAACAATCTATCTATCTTCTTCTTTTCTATTAATAATTTTTTAATACTATTTTTGAAAGAAACATTTAGAAATTATATTATTTTCCATAATTTAGCATAATAAGTGAATTAAAAAGTAAAACTAAAATTGTATTGACTGTAATTCAATTGTTTTAAAGATTCAAATTAAAATTGCATTGGAAATAATTCAACTCTTATAAAGAATTTTAACAATATATTTGACAATATCTTCTTTTTTAGAAGAATTTAATTAAATTTGTTTAAAATAATTTAATTATTTCGAGAAATTCTATTCAAATTATGGCAAAAATAATTTCAATCCTGCGAAGAAGTTTTTTACTTATGAAGAACATTTATTTATTGCGAAGAATATTCTTATTTTTGAAGATAATTAAATTCTTGTGAAAGAATTTTATTAAAATTTTTTAAAAATAATAATTGATTTCTATCGATAAAATTTGAATAAAATTTTATAGAAAATAATTTAATTTACACGAATAATTTCATTATTTATGAAAAAAATTGAATTCTTGTAAAGAATTCTAGTTAATCTTCTTAAAAATAATAGAGTTCTTTCAACAAAATTTTATTAACATTTCTTAAAATAATTGAATTCCTGTGATGAATTTGATTACTTACGAAAATAATTGAATTCCTTCGAAGAATTTTATTATAATTTTGAAAATACATAAATGAATTCATTCAAGAAAAAATTTTATTTTATTAAAATTGAACTGAAAATAATTAAATTTCTGCCAAGAATTTGATTACTTATGAAAATGATCGAATTTTTTCGCAGAAGGTTATTAAAATTGTGTTAAAAATAATTGGATTCTTTTGAGGAATTTTAATTGTATTGCAAATAATTAACTTCCTGACAAGAATATTATTACTTATGAGAAAATAGTTGAATTCTAATGAAGAATTTTATTATTTATTATAATTGAATTCTTTCGAAAGATTTTATTAAAATTGTTTTGAAAACAATTGAATTTTTGTCATGAATTTAACAACTTACAAAAGTAATTGAATTCTTTTGCATAAATTATTAAAATTTTTTGAAAGTAATTGAATTTTGACGTAGAATATTATTACAACTTTTTAAAAATAAAATTGAATTCCTGGGAATAATTTTATTATTTAAAAACTGAAAATAATTGAATTTCTTCGTGAAATTTTATTGAAATTTTAGAAAATAATTGAATTATTTTGAAGAAGTTTATTAAAATTTTTAAAAGTAGATAATAATGAATTTGAAATAATTCCATTTGCATACAGTTTAATTCAAATTATATTAAAAATAATCCAACTCCTGCGAAGAATTTGATTACTTATGAAGAAAATTGAATTCTGAAGAAGAATATTATTATTCATGAAGATAATTGAATTCTATCAGGAAATTTTAATAAAATTGTGTATAGAAAATAATTTAATTTTTACGAAGAATGTTCTCATATTAAGGTCAGTGTGAAGTTTTTCCATAGTAAAGTATATGGGGCACGTGACCACTGAATAACATAGCCTTAATGGATTCACTCGAGGAATGTTATTAAAATTTTTGAAAATAAATGAATTGATTTGAAGAAATTTGTTCAAATTGTTATGAATACAGTTGAATTCCATCAAATAATTTGATTACTTATGAAAATAATGAAATTTTTAAGAAGTATTTTAATAAATCCTTTTAAAAATAATTGAATTCCTGTGAGGAAGTTTATTATTTATAAAGATAATTGAATTCTTTCGCAGAAGTTTATTAAAATTGTATTGAAAATAATTGATTTCCTGTGATGAATTTGTTTACCTTCGAAAAATAATTGAATTCTGAAATTATTCAAAAATAAAAAATTGGTGTTGTTGAAAATAAATTTTGTAACTTGGATAATTATAAATTAAATATCGTGTTTCGCTCGTAATATTTGCTAGTTTCTTAATAAAATATTTAATATTTTCCAGCCGAAGAAAAAGCCGCCAGCTTCAGGTTGGGAGAAATTGGAAAAATCGCCAATTTATAAAAGCAACAACAGTTTGAGGCCCTATCAACTTGAAGGCTTAAATTGGTTACTCTTTTCGTGGTACAATGGACACAATTGTATTCTAGCCGATGAAATGGGTCTCGGTAAAACCATTCAGTCCTTGACTTTTGTCGACGCTGTATATAAATATGGAATTCGCGGTCCATTCCTGATAATTGCTCCCTTATCCACTATTCCAAATTGGCAAAGGGAATTCGAGGGTTGGACGGAAATGAATGTCGTCGTCTATCACGGATCGTACGTGACTGAATTATTTAATATTTGCGACGCGACACGAAGAAAAAGGAACCTAAGGAGAAAAACTTATCGGTTAAAAATTCAAGTTTGTCAAATGCAAACAAATTATTTTAAAATTTTTATTATATTTAAAAAATCAGTCGGTTCAGCTATATTTCGTTTTCATTTGTTATATTTAAAGTATCTGTCGGTTCAATTATTTTTCTTTTTTTTAATTAAAAAATAATTAGTTCATGACAAAACGATAATAGAACTTTTTGTTTCTTAGGTTCCTTTTTTCGTCTCGCGAAGAATTTTTTATTTCATTTTATTTGAAATTTGTAATAATAAAATTTTAACTTAATATAAAATTAAAAATTAATTTTACAGAGCGGCGAGTCGTACAATGCTACAGGAATACGAGGTCTACTATAAGAATGACAAGAAGCAGCAAATAAAAGACTTGATCAAATTTAACGTACTAATAACAACGTTTGAAATTATTATAACCGACTTTAATGAACTGAAAGGTTATAATTGGAGACTGTGTGTGATTGACGAAGCGCATAGATTGAAAAATCGTAATTGTAAACTACTCGAAGGTTTGAGACAATTGAATCTAGAGCACAGGGTACTTCTTTCCGGTACACCATTACAAAATAATGTCAATGAACTGTTCTCGTTGCTCAATTTCTTAGAACCAATACAATTTGCAAGTAGTGAAGCATTCCTTAAAGAATTTGGAAATTTAAGTAGCGAAGTGGAAGTACAAAAATTACAACTTCTATTAAAACCAATGATGTTGCGTCGATTAAAGGAGGACGTTGAAAAATCTCTTGCACCAAAGGAGGAAACTGTCGTTGAAGTTGAATTAACAAATATTCAAAAGAAATACTATCGTGGTATTTTGGAAAAGAATTTTTCATTTCTCGCTAAAGGTACGACGTCAGCGAATATTCCAAATTTAATGAATACAATGATGGAATTAAGAAAGTGTTGTATTCATCCATTTTTGCTTAATGGTGCCGAGGATCAAATTCAATTGGATTATAAACATGAGAAGGAGGATAATGAGGCTTATTATCAAGCTCTAGTAAATAGTTCTGGAAAAATGGTGCTTATCGATAAATTATTACCGAAACTTAAGGCCAGTGGTCATAGGGTTTTGATTTTCAGTCAAATGGTCAAGTGCCTGGATCTTCTGGAGGATTATCTTGTCTATAAAAAGTAGGTTTTTTTTAAAAAGAAAATTTTATTAATATTTTTACTTGTGACGAAAAATTTTCTACAATTAAAATATTATTTTCTCGTTAGATATCCTTATGAGAGGATTGATGGACGAATTCGTGGAAACTTGAGACAAGCTGCGATTGATCGATACAGTAAACCAGATTCTGATCGTTTTGTCTTTTTGCTTTGTACGAAAGCAGGAGGTCTGGGAATTAATCTCACGGCAGCTGATACTGTGATTATTTACGACAGCGACTGGAATCCTCAAAATGATTTACAGGTACGTTAAACAAATCGGAATCATTTAATAATTTCCCACGTAAAATACAACTATTTTGATATAAAATTTATTTATATACAAAAATAACTATAGTTAAACGCTGCAAAACTTATTTTTCAATAATTCTTTTAAGATTAATAATTTTTAAAAATATGTAATTAAAAAGTATTTATAAAATTGAAATTTAAAAAAAAATTTGATAAAATAAAATTTTAAATTAAAGATTATGAAAATCAATGAATTCTTAATCATTGAGAAGAAGTTAAATTATTCTAGAAAATAATTGAATTTCGAAAGATTTGAAATATCTTATTTATATTATATCTTAACTATTTTTCTCTTTTAATTTACAGGCACAGGCGCGTTGTCATCGAATCGGCCAACAAAAAATGGTCAAGGTTTATCGTCTACTCTGTCGAAATACCTATGAACGAGAAATGTTTGACAAGGCTTCGTTGAAACTTGGATTGGACAAGGCTATTCTTCAATCAATGAATACAACGCAAGGTGGCAAGGATCCCAATAATAAGCAATTAACAAAAAAAGAAATTGAGGATCTATTGAAGAAAGGAGCTTATGGAGCCATTATGGACGACGATAATGCAGGCGATAAATTCTGCGAGGAAGATATTGATATTATTTTAGAGAGGAGAACGCAAATTATTACAATTGAAGCGGAGAAGGGTTCAACATTTTCAAAAGCAAGCTTCGCCTGTTCGTCAAATAGGTCCGATATTAATGTTGATGATCCTGATTTTTGGAAGAAATGGGCCAAGAAAGCTGAAATCGACACAACCGAGAAGAAGGAGGAGGATGAACTTGTTATTTCTGAGCCTAGACGTAGAACGCAAATTAAACGTTACGGTCATGATGAGTCCGTTGTCGATATGTCAGAACTGGACAGTTCGGAGGATAACAGCGATGATGAATTAGGCGGCGGCTTAACTGGCAGAGGTACGTTCCACGCACTTTTTTTCATTCATGTTTTCTAATTTAGAAACAATAATAATTATAATTATCCATTTTTATTATAAAATTAACGAATTGATTTTTGAAAACTTGATAATTTTTAATCTGAAGTTATTTAAAAATTGAAAGTAACATTTGAAACATTTGAAAATTTGCATAATAATTAGAAAACTAAAGTCCGCGTTCCACGTGTGTATAATTTGCTAGTTCATCTTATAATTGCATTTTATCTAAAATTTTATATTGTTCTTTTATTGAAAATTTGATGTTAAAAAGGGAAATATAAATTTAAAATAGGAAAGAAACGAAGAGATAAATTCAAAAATAGAAGTCGCAAATTCTACGACGAGTACGTGCCACGTGAAGGCGAAGTGGTCTACGGAAGTTGGGCCCGAAGTGAATGCTTCAAAGTTGAACGGGGCCTTTTGACATTTGGATGGGGACGATGGGACGAAATTTTACAACACAGTCAATTCCGACGCGGCTGGCGTGATATTGACGTTGAGGATTGCGCCCGTGTTATTCTTCTCTATTGTTTGCGTTACTATCGTGGCGATGAAAAAATTCGCAGCTTCATTTGGGATCTGATCACTCCAATTGAAAATGGCGAGAAAATAAAGACAATGCCTGCCAATTCACCGGGGAGAAATAGTAGACAAAAGAAGAAGTCTCGCGTTCGCGAGGGACGCGAAACACGTGGAGCAATTGTCAACGGTGGACCAAGCGATCCAAATCACTGGAGTAATGCCGAGAAATACGACGGTGACATCTTTCTCGAGAGCAACTACAAAAAGCACTTGAGTCGCCATGCTAATAAGTGAGTTATTCTTTTAAAAGAAACAAACAAATTTCTATTTTTTCTAACTTTTCATAATTCAAAATTATTATATTATAATAATCGCAGGCCTCGAACTGAGTACATAAATTAAGGAAAAGTACGTAATTTTGACAAAAGGTCCGTAAAGTACGTAATTTTGACCATTTTGACTAAAAATCAAAATATGTATACAGATTGTGAATAAATATTTGTGACGCGCTCCCAAGAAAGGTACCTAAGAAGCAAACGAATTATAGGTTGGGTTCGAGTTAGATTTATCTTGATTAAAAGTTTATTTTTAATTATTTGAATGTGAAACCAATTTTCATTGAATATTTTGAATATAATGAAGACTTGTAGACCAACAACTTTTAATTAATAATTGATTCTCTTTCTGTATTTTTACTCAAAAAAATTAAAAACCTAACCTAAATTTTTTGCTTCTTAGGTACCTTTCCTCAGAGCGTGACACATTTAGTGATGCCTTCTCTATTTTTATTCACATTCACTTTCCGATCAATCCGCTGACGGTGATCATTTTCAGAAACAGTGATTGGTCGAAAACGAAAGTCATATTTAGTTAATAAAGGGTTCATACCACTATACATGCCTCAAAATTTAGCTTTTTTGTAGAATTTTTTTATGATCCATGTAAATTTTATTGATTTAGGTCTTTTATAGTTTAACAAAGACACTCTTTAACTATATAGAAAACGTCGTTTTATTAAAAAAAATATTGTTTCATTTAATTATTTAAAATTTAACAATAGAATACACAGCATGAAAAAATGTGAATTGAGTTACTGATAATCTAAAAATTTACTGATGCAACTAGTAACTATGTAAGTACATAGCCTTTGTACGCGTTCAAATGTCACCTAAAATAATATATTTAAAGTGCTGAGATCTTTCTAAAATTTTACACAACATTTTTGAGATATTTTACTTTCAAAATCCGTAAAAAAATTTAATTTTTTGAAGTTGACAAAGTGGTATGAACTCTTAAAGAAATTCAAAAACTTCTTAATTTACATAAGAACATAAATAAAATATTATTTTAATTTTAAGATTTTCTAAACTAATAAAAATATGTTGATTGAAATCCATGTAATTATTTAAACTAAATCATTCTATTTTGCGATTTAAAGTCGGCACTTTAAATGAAAAATTACAAATTTTGGTACGTAAATTGGTCACTAATTTTTCCTTTTTTGGTACGTAAAGTACGGTAATTTTCAATGCCAAAGGTAGTTCGAGGCCTGTAATCGACATAATCTGTCCTCACTTGAAATTAGTGTTGTTTAATTATTTATTTTTGCATTTAAATAATTGAATTCTGATGAGAATTGATTTAAAAAAGAATTTTAGTCAAAACATTAGGAAATAATTAAAAGTGTTAAAGTAGGATTCTTTAAAAATAATATTAAAATTTCAAAAAGTTTTTAAATTCCAATCTTTGAAATTCTAACTGCCGTAAAAGTATCAGAATATGTATTTAAATATAAAAAATAATTAATAGCTTCCTCAAAAATTAAAAGTTTTAAATATTATTCAAAAATTCTAACAAAATATTTGAATTTTGGAAGATTTGCAGTTTAAATTTTCATAAAAAATTTTTCCAATGGTTTTACATTGAAAGTATTTTGAAATTTTAAGCAAATAAAGAACAATAGGTAAGTATTTAAATATTTATTATACAAAAATGATTGAAATTTGAAAGATTTAATTTGGAAATTCTGAAAAAAATTAGGTTTCTGAAAAATAGTAATTAAATTCTCGTCGTTGAATTCTGGTAGGAATTGATTTAAAATAAATTAAAGTTAAAATTTGAGAAAATAATTGAATATTTAAAGAGGTTGTTTACAGGTATGCAGACCTTCAGAAAAAATATTGAATTGACATTAAAGAATTTTTTAATATTATTGTTATTCGTATCTTCTGGAAGAACAAATATCAATTTTCAAGAAAAAAATTTGAAACTTACAAAAATTGTTTATTTAGTCATTTTGCATATGATCAAAGTTTTCTTCATATCAAAAGGTTGAACTTTTTCAAAACTGATTCGATTTAAGTCAGTGATGGCTTATTTTCTTCAGAAAATTATTCTCTATAACTTGACCGCTCAGATTTATAAACAAATACACCGTTTTCAAAATATGTTTATTTGTTTAAAATTTTTTTTTTAAATTAAATCACTTTTTTTAAACAAATAAGCATATTTTGAAAACGGTGTATTTGTTTATAAATCTGAGCGGTCAAGTTATAGAGAATATTTTTCTGAAGAAAATAAGCCATCATTGACTTAAATCGAATCAGTTTTGAAAAAGTTTAACCTTTTGATATGAAGAAAACTTTGATCATATGCAAAATGACTAAATAAACAATTTTTGTAAGTTTCAAATTTTTTTCTTGAAAATTGATATTTGTTCTTCCAGAAGATACGAATAACAATAATATTAAAAAATTCTTTAATGTCAATTAAATATTTTTCTGAAGGTCTGCATACATGTAAACAACCTCCTTAAAGCGTTATAACAAAAATTTTCGGAATTAATTAAATTAAAAAAAAAAATTTAAGGGAACCAAAAGTATAAAAATATTAAAATTTTTATTTTAAAAAAAATTATTAATTTCATTATTTTTTTTTTATTCTTAAAGTTTTGAATAATTTAATTTAAAAATTCTAAATAAATAATTGAATTTTGGAAGAAATACTAGTTGCAGTTTTTAGAAATAATTAAATTTCAAAAGGTTTTTTATTGAAATTAGGATGAAATTTTAATTCCTGTAGAAAAATAAATAAGAATAAGTTTTTAAATTTTTATTTGACAAAAAGTATTGAAGTTTTGAATAATTTAATTCAGAAATTCCGAAAAATTGTTTCTTGATGAAATGTAATTAAAATTTTTAAAAATAATTGTATGTCCTAAAATAATTTTAAAAAATTGAAACAATTGAAATTTTTGGCAAATTTCATTTAAATAAATTTTATATTTTAATGAATTTTATTTGTTTACTTATTACCAGGGTCAAAATAAGTGAAACCGGCCACTTGAAAAATTTTTGTCTCCAATTTTCAAGTTATCTGTGCACTGAAAAAAAAATTCGGCAGAATGTGCTTTTTACTCAGGCAATTTTTGCCTAAGAACAAAAGCAATACACGTAAAGCAATTGTTTCTTTTAAAAAAAGGCAATTTTTGCTTTTAAAAGAAACAATAAATTGCTTTACGTGTATTGCTTTTGTTCTTAGGCAAAAATTGCCTGAGTAAAAAGCACATTCTGCCGAATTTTTTTTTCAGTGTGATTTTTGGTAGATATATGAGTACACTTTTTCCCCCTAAAATATTTTTCAAAAAAAAATTTTATTTTTGAAGTAATCAGGTATGTATTGAAGTTTTGGGTCATTTTATTTTCATTTTATTATTACTTTGAAACAAATAAAGATAATTAAGTAATTTTTTTTTAAATTAAACCTTAAAGTCTATACTTTAAAGATGAAATAAAGCGATTGCTAAAAAATGAAAATTTATAATTGTTATTAACAATTCTTTTAAACAATTGCGAATTGAAGAATGTTCTCAATGTTTTTGAAAGATTAAATTACGATATATTGATGCGCAAAACTATAAGGATTTATTTAAAAAAAAGAAAAATCAGTAACCTCCAATATTATAGAAATAGTGTGGATTTTTATGCCAAAATGCAGGCGAAAATCGATTTTTAATCTTAAAAATCCGCTTGAAAGCGTGAAGTTTCTAACAAAACAAAAGAAGATCTTATTTATTCGTTTGCAATTTTATCTTTTTCCAGGAACTTGAGTCAATTTTCGTCTGCATTTTGTCAGAAAAATTTACATAATTTCTATAATATTGGAGGTTACTAATTTTTTTTTTTTAAAATGAATCCTTATAGTTTTGCGCATCAATATATTTTAATTTAAACTTTCAAAAATATTGAGTACATTCTTCAATTTGCAATTGTTTAAAAGAATTGTTAATAACAATTATAAATTTTCATTTTTTACCAATCGCTTTATTTCATCTTTAAAGTATAGACTTTAAGCTTTAATTTAAAAAAAAATTACTTAATTATCTTTATTTGTTTCAAAGTAATAATAAAATGAAAATAAAATGACCCAAAACTTCAATACCTGATTATTGCAAAAATAAATTTTTTTTTTGAAAAATATTTTAGAGGGAAAAAGTGTACTCATATATCTACCAAAAATCATAGATAACTTGAAAATTGGAGACAAAAATTTTTCAAGTGGCCGGTTTCACTTATTTTGACCCACCAGGATAGTTTAATTATTTAATCAAAAATATCTTACATTCAAGTTGCTGTTAGAAATATCTTAGCGATTTGTATACAAGTTGTTCAAGTAATTAAATTTAAAGAAAAACTGTTAGAAAAATTATATTTTTTAAAAAATGAAGAATTTTCATTAAATTTCAAAAAGTAAATCTTTAATGGAATTAAACAATGAACAATGAGAATTAATATTTCACGCGCGCTTGTAGTTTTGCTAATTATGAAAAATATAATTATTCGAAAAAATACGAAATATATGAAAAATATAAATATGAAAAATACGAAATATATGAAATATTGTAAGCATTTAAAAATTTTCTTCCGTTACAGAGTTTTATTACGAGTAAGAATGCTGTATTACATCAAGCACGAAATAATCGGTGATCTAGTGCAACACATTTCTGACGGCGTTCACGTAAGGTCAGTATAGCTTCACAAGAAAAAACCGCTTTTATTTCTGTTTCAATTTAATAATTTGTTTATTTCTCACAAACAAAACAAAAGAAAATGAAAAAAGTTTATTAATATTCACGCACTTACATACGTGCTTTCGCAGCTTCTAGTTGCATGTGCAATGTATTTGTTTATCCTGGGACATGTACATGGAATGCTCATAGAGCTGCCCTTTCTTGTAGCTATATACGTAAATGATATTTCTCACATCCCCTGTGCTACTAATATTACAAATAAAAAAGATCAAATTCCATTCACTCTCACATTATGCAAATATTAATGAGCAAAATACTTGATGAACGGCCTGAACGGGAATAAATCGTGTCACATCATAAAAAACTGGTAAGAGTCGAAAAAAGCAGTGCACTGTGTTTAGAGGGCAGAATTCATCTGACCGAGAAACGTAAAAAAATGACGATATTTGACTCTAATTGCAATTTTTATCTTTTATTTCTATTCAAAAAATTAGTATTCTCGTTTTTGGCTGAAATTATTTTTTCTTTTTGGTGTTTTTTTTCTTCTTTCTCGAGTTCGAAGTAGATAAAGGGTCTCAATCTATTATATTTCGACTAAGATTGTCGCTGACTAATTTTAAAGAACTATGATATTCTGCAAAATTTCTATCAATATCACAAAATGAAAGAAATTTGTCTAATTTACTGTAAAATAGGATTTATATGAATTTAAAGTGTATGAATTGATGAAAATTGTCAATTTTTCTGCTAAAAAATTATACAAATCACGACAAAAGTGTAAAAAAATAGATTTTACCAAGAATGACTACAATAATTTTACTAAATTTTAGCTAAATACTTAGGTATATATATATTTAAAGATACATATATGGAAAATAGGTAAAATATTATTTTAAAGTTTACCTGTCAAATAACCTAGTTTTGCAGTTTTTTTCTCAATTTATAAACTACGAGAAATAGAATACATAATATAATAAAATAAAAACTTACCAAATAGGAAATACTTGCAATGAAATTTTAGATTTTCTTAACTTTTTTTCTTTCCTGTTGATAAATATAAAGAAATAGGAAAAGAAAATCGCCACTTTACTGATTTTTAAACGTTTATCATTTTTTTAGAAAAAACATAATTTTTCTAACTTTTAGAATTTTTTTTAATAATTTTAATCTTTGCAGTAGAATTTTATTTAAAATGTTGGAAATAGTATGAAGAATTTTATTAATTTATGAAATTAAATGTATTATATTAGAATTTTATCGAAATTCTCGAAAATAATTGAATTCTTTCAAGAAAAAATTCAATTTAGTTCAATTATGTATATTAAAATTGTACTGGAAATAATTCTTTCAGGAAAAAATTGAGTTCAATTCAATTTTATTAAAATTTTATCAATTTTACTGAAAATAATTGAATTCCTGCGATGAATTTCATTAAAATTTTTGAAAATAATTAAATTCTTCTCATTTATTAAATTAAAATTGTATAAAAAATATTTTGAATTCTTATAAAAAGTTTTATAAAATTTTTTTTTTTTAATAATGACATTTTTAGGGAAGAATGTTATCAAAATTTTCGAAAATAATTGTATTTTTTTGAAGATTTTTATTATATTAACATGATTAAACTTTTGCGAAATATTTTATTAAACAATTTTTAAAAATAATTGTTTTCTTTTGAGGAATTTTATTAAAATTGGTTTGGAAATAATTGAATTCCTGTAATGAATTTCATTAAAATTTTTGAAAATAATTAAATTCTTTCGAATAGCTTATTAAAATTTGTTGAGAGTAATTGAAGTTTTGCGTTGAATATCTTATACACTTAAACTTTACATATGTATATATTTTACAACAAATGTAAAAATTTGTCATAAAATTCTGTTCATTTCCTGATTTTGTTAACATCTTGAGAATAATTTTTTGTTAAATATTGTAGTTTTTGAAAATCAGTCGGCGACTACTTTAGACGATATTTAATCGATTGACTCGAAAATAAGATCTGAAATTTTCTCTAAAGTAAAAAGAACTTGTCAAAATTGAAGAATTTATTTGAGTTATTATGAACTCTTGATTGGCATATTTAACGATTGGAAAATTGTAAATGAAAACCGCCTCACAGTGCGTTGCGGATGAATACTCCACAATTGGCAGACCGACCAGCGAAATGGTGGGATTCAACGGCAGACAAGTCCTTAATCGTAGGATGCTACAAGCACGGCTATGAGAATTACGACCAGATGAGGGCCGATCCTACGCTTTCTTTCATTTCAAGCTGTCCTCTCCCTTCCCCGACTCAGATACAGACCACTCAAAATAAGTAAGTACAATTTCTTCTCTTGCCACTATTTTTTTTTCTGTTCATGTTTTATTATTTATATGCTCTTGTCCCTTGATCTCAACACTAATTGCATGTTAATATTTATAACCGCTATGTATTTTTGTTGATACATTTTGAGGAGAGAATTTTTTTAGCAGAAGAAAAAAAAATTGTCCACTCGACATCGAATCAGTAAAAATCAAAATGCTTCGCATCAATGTTTACACTATTCACACTTGCTCTAATTTTGCTTTTTTTTAATTGTTAAGGATTTAGGCTTAGACATAATCTGTTGATTATCGAATTCCTTTATTAAAAAAGAAATTGTTCAGTATCAAATCAGGTAAAAATTTTTCCTTTTTGATAAATAAATTATATTAAAATAACAAATTTTTACTATTACAGGGTTGCCACAGGTCAGGGAAATCAGAAAATTCAGGGGAAAGTCGGAAAATGTTATCAAAAGTACTGGAAAAGTATTTAAATTTATAGAATTCGTGTGAAAATTCAAAATTTTGGTATCCAGCAACATTTGATAATAGCAAAAGCATTTAATTCTTCTTGATTTTTTTTATTCGCCTTATAAACTTTAAAATCACCGAGAATTTTAATACGAAACCTTAAATTTTTTCTACTTCTGACATTAATTTATTCTTAAAAATAATTGAATCGAAAAACCGTCATAAATTAATTAATGTTATTTAAAAAATAATTTTACTCAAAAATTCCAAAAATTATTAATTTTAGAAAAGTTGCATTCAACAATTTTTACAAATATAGAATTTCAAAAGATTTCCGATTGAAATTTTGGAACATTTGAATTTTAATTAATTTTAATTAAAAATTCCGAAGAAGTTTGTGTTTAAAAACTATTTATTTACAATTTGTTGAAATTAGTTGAATTTTTCAATAGATATATTTATTTGTTTATTCATTCAGAGTACTGAATTGGGAAATTAAGTTTTTTCTTTAGATAATTCAATTCACAAAGAATTTTATAAAAAAGTTTTAAAAATAATTGATTTAGAAAAGAATTTTAGTTATAAATTCTAGAAAATAATTGAATTGAAATCTTGAAAATAATTTTAGAAAAGTTACAGTAGAAATTCTTATAATGTAAATTATTATTTAAATTTTAAATGATTTGAGAATTGAAATTATTGAAATTTTTAATTAGAAAGAAAATCTTAAATTCTATAGAACAAAAATAATAATAATAATAATAATTAAATATTCATGTGAAAAAAAAAATTTTATTAAATTTTTTAGAACGTTTAGTTGTTTTATATAATTTCTTTTTTATAGGATTTATTTCGTGATAAGTTCAATTAAAAAAATTAAATTGCAAATAGAAATTATTTTCAATAGTTTTTCAATTAAAAATATTAAAAAACTCAGGTATTTTCAGTTCAATTTTATGAAATTTTAATTATTTAAAAACTATTCAGTGTTACGAAAATAAAATTCAAATTTAAAAAAAGCAATTTTTTTAAAAATTGTTGTCTTAAAATACTCGATAACTTTCAAATATTTTAATAAAATTCTTTAAATTTTCAATTATTTTTAGTTTAATTTTATGAATTCCAATTATTCAAAAAATTTAAATTAAATATTATTAAAATTTTGATTATATTAAATAATAAAATTTAAATTTAAAGGAAAACTTATTTTTTCAATTGAGGCCTTGGATCCAATAACTCGCCCGACGCTCGGAGGAACGCGCAACTGCCAGTCAGTGAGCAGTGAGCGCCTCTGGGCCACTCACTGCTACCCGACTGGTATTAGCGCGTGTCTTCGAGCGTCGGGCGAGTTATTGGATCCAAGGCCTCAATTAAAGTCTTAAAAAACTCGCTTACTTTAAAAAATTTAAATAAAATTCTTTAAATTTTATGAACTTTCAATTATTTAGAAACTTTTTAATTCATCATTTTAAAATATTTTATTATGTTAAACAATTTTTTTTTATATTTATAAAGATTTCAATTGTTAGTCTTAGTAAATTTAAATACAAAATTTTAAATCGAACTCTTTAAAAATTCCATTTTATTTTAGATACATTTTCTATTTCTTTAGTGTCCAGCCACCTTTGAAAATATTAGGATTTAATTCTTCTTAAATTTTGTCTTTTCGTTGTTTAAAAAAAAAATTTAATTACCAAGAATTGCATAATAAAAAAACTTTAAATTATTTATATTTATGATAATTAATTAACTTTACAGAATATGGAATTTAATTCTTTAAGAACCATAAATTATTTAACGAATAATTTTACTGAAAAATTTCAAAAATAATTGAATTTCAAAAGAGTTGCTTTTACAATTTTTATAAATAATTATATTTTAAAAGGTTTTAAATTAAAATTTTAGAAAATTTGAATTTTAAATAATTTTAATTTAACGAAAAAGTTATTTTTTGAAAGCATTTTATTTCAATTTTTTAGAAATTGCAAGTTGAATTTTTGAATAGATTCAGTACCTAATTTAAGTGAAAAATAAATTTTTTTTCTTTCAATAATTGAGTTCACAAAGAATTTTCACAGAAATTGTTAAAAATAATTAATTTAGAGAAGAATTTTAGTTGTAATTGTAAAAAATAATTGAATTAATAGGACCTCTAAAAACTCCAAATAATAGTTTTCGACGTTAACTTCAGGGATTTTTTTTATTTAATTATTTTTAGAGTGAATAAGAATATTCTTCAGTATCAGGGAAGAAGTCAAAATTCTATCTGGAAATCAGGGCAAAGTCAGGGAGAAAGAAAATAAAATTTTTGTGGCAATCCTGAATTACAAATTTTTACTAAATTATAAATTTGTACTACTTGCAAATTTGATAGAAATTTGAATTTAACAGCAATTTTCAATTAGTTTATTACTCATAATAATAAATAATATCTTTTCGTAGAAGAGAAAAAATTGCAAGAAAAAAAGTATTTTTATTAAAGAGTTCTTTATCATCGGGAATACGTAAATTGTAGAAATAAGTTTCTAGAGTTAAAGGAACGCATTATTTTTTAAATCAGGGAGGAAAGCAGTTTAGAAACCGAGATCGAAGAAGGTGAGTCGTCTGGTATAATGAAGGAGTGCAAGGATTTGGATAAATTCGGAAGAGTCACTCCTGCTGATTCGCCAGCGATTTCCAGCAAGGCTGATACTCCAGTTCCGGAAGCTGGAAGCAGTCACGACGGTAATGAACAAATTATGGAGGATGAAAAAAATTGGCCCTCAGTCGTCGATCTCAATACACGATTACGTCGAGTTATCACCTCTTATCAACGAAATGTCAAGAAAGAGGACGTGAATAAAACCTTTCCCAAGGGAAAAATCGGCGAGGGAGAGACGAGTAATCATCAGGGTACAATGATTGAACCTCCTTTAAATATGCAAGGATGGGATTTACAGCAACTTGCCATGTATTTATTGGTTAGTATTATTCATTTTTTTCTTACTTTTTAAATAACTGACAATTTATATCTTAAATTAAATCCTGGGACTAAGTAAAGAGACTCGAATTCTAATTCTAAATTAAAATACAAACAATAATTTTTATTGTGTTATTAATTTTTTGGCACCTTTTAAATAACTGACAAATTAAATGTTAAATTAAAAAAAGACAAATTAAATATTAAATTAAGAAAACTGACAAATTAAATATTAAATCCTGGAGTAAAATAAAGAAATTCTAATTCTAATTCTAAATTAAAAGAAAAACCAAAATTTTTATAATAATTATATGGATTTTATGGATTAAATTAATGATTTTGTATTTTTTTCCGTAGAAAATGGAGAGGAGGGAAAAAATGGAAGCTATGGTGAAGGAAAGGGAACGAACACGTATCGAGGAGCAAAAAGCCAAGTGGACTCGTCGCGAGGAAAGTGAATTTTTACGTGTAATTTCTACTTATGGTGTCAATTATGATAGAAAAAAGGCTCAATACGACTGGACGAAATTCAAGAGTATCGCTCGATTTGACAAAAAGACGGACAACGATCTCACGGACTATTACATGTCTTTTAGAGCGATGTGCAAAAAGGTTTGCAGTTCAAAGGCAAATGAGGAAGAAGGTACGTTTAGAATCATTCTAAAAAAAAGAATTCTTAATTTCTATTTAATTTAATTTATAGACTTCGTACTCATCTACTAAAACCAAGTATTTACTACTTTTTTAAAGATTTTTTTAAAACATTTTTCGAAATTCAATTATGTTTTAAACCTTTTTCAAAATTCAATTATTCTCAATATCTACTATTTTAATACAAAAAATTTTAAAAGAATCCAATTATTTTAAAAAAATGTATAAAGTTCTTTGCCAACATTCTCAGGTTTTCAATTATTTTTAATACAATTTTAAATAAATTACTCGAAAAATGCAATTATTTTTAAAAGTTTTTATTAAAATCCTTCAAAAGAAATCAATTATTTTCCAAAATATTGATATAATTTGTTTATTAGAATTAAATTAGAATTAAATTAGAATTAAATTTCTCAAAAGAATTAAATATTTTCAAAAATTCTAAGAAAGTTCGTCGCAAGAATTAAATTATTTTTATAAATAATAAAATTCTTCCCAGGCATTCAATTATTTTTAATAATTTTAATAAATTTCGTTGCAAGAATTCAATTATTTTCATTATAACTAATAAAATTCTTCTCAAGCATTTAATTATTGGAAATAATTTAAATAAATTTCGTTGTAAGAATTCAATTATTTACATAACTAATAAAACTTATCGCAGCATTTTAAGAATTTATAATAAAATTGAATTTAATTTTTTCTTGACAGAATTAATTTATTTTCGAATATTTTATTAAAACTCTTCCGAAGAATTCAATAAGTTTTAGAAATTTTAATAAAATTCGTCCCAAAAATTGAATTATTTTTATAAGTTATAAAGTTCTTCGGCAAAATTAAATTATTTTCAATATTTTTAAAATTTAATTAAAATTTTTTTTAAATTCTTTAGAAGGATTCAGTTATTTTTAGTTTAATTTTAATTCAATTCTTTGAAAGAATTTAAATTGTCATTGAAACAATTGAATTTGTATTTTTACAAATTTTAATTCATAAATAATAAAATTCGTCGCTGGAATTAAGTTAGTTTCAAGTTATTTTTAATAAAATTTCTTAAAAGAATTCAATTTTTTCAAAAATTTTGATAAATTTTTTTTATTAGAATTTAATTATTTTCAATACATTTTTAATAAAATCCCTTGAAACAATTCAATTATTTTCAAAAATTATAGTAAAATTCTTTGAAACAATGCAATTATTTTTAAAAAAATTTAATAAAATTTATCGTAAAAATTGAATTATTTTTATAAGTTATACAATTTTTCGGAGATTTAAATTATTTTCAATACAATTTTAATAAAATTTCTTGATAGAATCCAATTCCTTTTTAAAAATTTTAATAAAATTCATTTAAATAATTCAATTACATTGAAAAACTTTTATAAAATTCTTCACTAAAATTTAATTACTTTTTGTACAATTTGAATTAATTTTCTTTAAAGAATTTAATTGTTCTGAGAAGTTTGTAATAAAGTTCTTCGAAACATCTTTTAATGTTAAATAAAGCTACTTATTCAATTATTTTTTACAATTTTAACAAATTACGTTACAAGAATGAAATTATTATTATATTATTTTTAGGAATATTAATGAAATTCTTCGCAAGAATTGAATTATTTTTATAAGTTATAAAATTCTTCGGAAGAATTAAATGATTAAATTTTTGGAAGAATTACAATTGTAATTTTTAGAAATAGTTATATTTCAAAAAGATTTACATTGAAATCATTGAAAATATTTTAATTTGTTTTTAATAGCTTTTGCTACTTTTTTAAAAATTAATTATCGAGTACGAATCCTGAATTTAGAGAGAAAGAAAGAATTTAACTTGTTATCTTTACAGATTCAACAGAAATGTCAGTGGAGCATTTAAGTCCCATTAAGGCTCGACAAATACTCGATCGAGTTGATCTACTGAGCAAAATTCGCGAAGACATTCTCTCTCATCCGCATCTGGAGGAACGACTCTTGCTCTGTCAACCATCGGCAGATACGCCCGAATGGTGGCAAGCGGGAAAACACGACAAGGAACTTCTTCTTGGTGCAGCAAAACACGGCTTGGGTCGAACTGATATAACAATCTTGAACGATCCCGATTTTTCGTTTCACAAAATTCTCGGCAAAAGTATTTACAACAGCGTTCAAGTGGCAAAAAATATCGAGAAAGCCGAGAAGGCAATCAAATTAGAAAATAGAGACGATATTCTGAAATTCGACAAAGACGAAATTTTGGTTAAATTAGAAAAAGGTGAAGGCACTTTGAAAATTGAAAAAGTTGGAATCAAGAAGGATAAAGACACACAGGCGAGTGAGAAAAAAGTCGAAGTCTTGGGTAATGACAAGGGACAAGTCGAAATGACTCTTGTTAAATCGGAGTCCTTCGCTGAAAGTAAATTGGAAAATATCGCTGCTAATAACGGTCTTACTATCACTACCGTCAAGGCAAAATCACCTGAAAAGGAAATTCCGATCTCGAAAATGGAAACCGATGTCGAGAAAGCAGAACCAAAAGAGGAAGAAGAGAAAGAAAAGGAGGAGAAAACTTCTGACGAAAAGGAACTGACGGCGGAAGCCGAGAAAGAAGATCAGGAACAAAGTGAGAAAAAGTCGAAGAACGAGGAAGAAAATACCGAAAAAGTAGCTTCTGATGAATCTGAAAAAATTATGGAAACTAAGGAAGAGAAGAGCGAAGAGAAAGCGATTTCCGAGAATGAAGATAAAGCCGAAACAAAAGATGTTGAGGAAAAGAAGGAAAATGAGAAAGAAGGGGAAAAGTCCCCTGAAATTGAGATGGAAATCTCAAAAGAAGGGGAGATGGAAAAAGAAAAGGAGAACGAGAAAGAAAATGAGAAAGAATGCGAAAAAGAGAAAGAAAGCGAAAAAGAGAAAGAAAGTGAAAAAGAGAAAGGAAGAGAAAAAGACCAAGGGGAAAACAGTGGAGAAGAAAAGGTGAAGATCGAAAATTCTGAAGAAGCCTCAAAAGAAGTAAAAGTCGAAGAGACTATTTCCAAAGCAGAAGAAACCGTCAAAGAAGAGGAAGTAAAAATACAAGAACAAAAAGAAATCGACAAAGCACCAATCGCAAAAGTCGAAGATAAATGCAGCGTTCAAGCTGCCGAATTGAAAGCAATGTTCCCCGATCTAGAAGTAATTCAACCCCTCTCGAGATTGACGCAAGTCGATACATTTGTCCTTCGCGATAAGGCAATTGACTACAATGAACCGACCGTCGCTCAATTACTCGCTCACAGTTATCAGTCCTCAATAAAATGGCCCAAGGAGCACGCAATCGAGGCGCGTTTACGTCACATTGTACACGCCGTCGAGCAAAAAGAATGGCCCGTCACCGTCAATTTCACTGCCGGCGATGAAATCGAAACTGTCAACGAAAAAGATAATTCTGAAGTGATCACAATAACAACTGATCACGGCATTTCAAGATCACTCGCCGCCGTTAATAATATTGCAGCGGCAGCAGCAGCCGCTAAGAAGCGCAAGCGACACATTGCCATTGATGTTGAAACGGAACGAGCCAAGTTGCATGCACTTTTGAATAGTAGTCATATGACCACACAACCGCCGGTTCCATTGACGAAGCCGCCAATTCTTTCTGGCAATGCAAATTGGGAAGCGAACGAGGAGTCACAATCGGAGGAATCGAGGCGTTCGACTCCCGTTCAACCGCCACCGGCTCATCAGCAGACGAGAACACCGGCTATGCCGTTTGACTTGAAGTACACTCTCCAGGGAAAAACTACTGTCATTCCCGGTACTTCGAGTACATTGACACCTATTGATCTATCAGCTGGGTAAGTTATATTCCAAATAAATTAAATTCCAAATTTAAATTCGTATCGACTCAAAACTAAATTAAAAACAAAAATTTAGTTTCGTGTCGACTCGAAACTAAATTAAAAAAATAAATTTAGTTTCGTGTCGACTCGAAACTAAATTAAAAAAATTAATTTAGTTTCTTCGCAAAAACTCAATTATCTTCATAAATAATGAAATTCTTCGCAGGAATTTATTTATTTTCAAAAATAAAAATTATTTGCTCTCGAAAGAATTCAATTTTTTTTTAAATTTAATAAAGAAAAATTAAATTTAATTGAATTAAAAAAGAATTTAATTATTTTCAAAAATAAAAATATTCTTCGCAAGAATTCAATTACATATCTTCATAAATTGTTAGGGTGTGCGAGTGAGTGTAGACGAATTTATCGAAACAAAGTATTTATTAAATAAACCGAGATTAACAAATTACAATGAATGTAATTCAACATGAACTGAATGAATGAACTGAACAAAAGATTCTGTGAATGTGTGTTGTAAGTGAAAGAAAAAGAAAGGCGATTGAAGCGCCACAGGAAGGAAATTAAATTATTTTTAATATTATTTAATTAGAATATCTCGAAAGAATCAAATTATTTTAAGAAATTTCAATTACATTCTTCTCAAAGAGATTCAATTATTGGCGAATATATTGAATTGAACTCAATTATTTTCAAATAAATTTTAATTAGATTTTTTAAAACTATTGAATTACTTTTAATATCATTTTAATTAAATTCTCCAAAACAATTGGATTGTCTTCAAAAAATATAATTAAAATTGTATTAAAAGTAATTCAATTGTTTTAAAGAATCTAATTGAAATTGATTTGAAAATAATTGAATTGCATTTTTACAAAGAATTTTACCAAATATTTGACAATAACAAAATTGTGATTGAATTGAAAATAATTGAGTGCCTCCGAAGAATTTTATAATTTATGAAAATAGTTCAATTCTTACCATAAAATTATTAGAATTTTAAAAAATAATTGATTTGTTTTAAAAAAATTATTAAAATGTTTGAAAATCATTAATTTTTTTCAAGAAATTTAATTAAAAATGTATTAAAAATAATTAAATTCTAATAAAGAAATTTTATCAAAATTTTTAAAAGAATTAAATTCTTTTAAGAAATTTTATTAAAATTGTCTTGAAATTATGAATTGAATTTGTGCGAAGCATTAGTTTATTTATGAAAATAACAAAATAAAAAATAAGAGAAAAATTAACCTAAAATTGTTAAAATTGCCAATTCAATTGTTTTCAAGAAAAATTTAAATTTATTCGAGGAATCGAAGTAATATTTTACTGAAAAAAATTCAATTCTTCGAAAGGATTGTATGGAAATTTTTGAAAATAAAATAATTTTAATTTAATTTTTTCAAGCAATTTTTAAAAAGTTTTTAAATAGAATTGAATTTTATTAAAAAAAAGTTTGTTAACATTGTATTGAAAATAATTGAATTTCTTTAAAAAATTGTAATATTTCTGAAAATAATTGGATTCTTGCGAAGAATTTTATTATTTACGAAAATAATTGGATTTTTGCGAAGAATTTTATTATTTGCGAAAATAATTGAATTACTTCAAGGAATTTTGTTAATATTTTAGAAAATAAAGTTATAATTAATTAGTAAGTGAATTTTTTTAATTTTGAATCTCAAATCATCAAAAATTGAAGTTGATATTTGAAAATAAAAGAATTTGAAATTTGCGTAAAAATTAGCAGATAATTATAATTAAATTGGAATTTTCCATTTCTTACGTTTTCGATACATTTTAGATATCCTAAACCAGCCACGGAGCCAACTAAAGACATAATGAACGAAGTGCAAGATTTCTCGATGCCAAACAAGGTTAAACAAATCAGTAGCAATAAGGGAAAACTGGACAGTATGTTGGACAAATTGATGAAGAGGAAGAATTGCGTAAGTAGAATATTTAGTTTTCCTGTTTTTCCTTCTATTTCGAGCAGAGTTTACAGTTGTCTAAATTAAAAATTTCTAAATTTCTAATAAATAAAATATTTATAAAATTCTCAATTCATTAGCCGACTGATGAGCCCGTCGTTGGTAAGGAAAAGAAACGACGAAAATTGGATGAAATCGTACTGGGATTAAGTGCGGCGAAGGAACAACAGAGTAGCCATTATCCGGAACATGGAAAGAAAAGCACAATAACGCCGAACGTCACTGTAACACCGACTTCGGCACCAATTGGTCTTCCCACTCCGCCAACGCCTCTATCGCAAAAACCATTTTCAATCACCGTCACATCGATTCCATCATCGCGTGCATCTGGCTCATCGTCCAGTGTACCGCCACCCTCTATACATTCGCACAAAGACAATTTCTCCGCTTTGTTCGCACAGGCGGAACAACAGAATCGTGAACTCGCCAAGAAGCAGCATCAACATCAACAACAACAACAGCAGCAACACGCCTATAATTCCGTGCATGCCTCACCATCGTCATCGTCATCGTCGAGTCATCGAAAGAATTACGAGGCAATGATTGCCGACATTCACAAAGTCGCCGAATATTCCTCGAAAGTTGGTTCCTATTCGCACGAAGCCAAAGTCAATAAATGGCTCGCCGAACAAACAGCAATGTCGGAGCAATTAAACGCCGAGTACCTGAATGCCCCCAGACGAAGGAGACCGCGTGTCGATCCTTCTGCGCTCAATTGGAAGAATTTAACCGGCGAGGAGAATGTCGCCGTCATCAATAGATTGACCGGCAAAAAGGTAATTGTCCTTTTCTTCCTAAAAACTCCTGAAAACATTGGGAGCATCCATAAATAACCTTTTCACGATTTGGGGTGGGGGGGGGGGGGGGGGGGGTTGAAAAATGCAACTGATTGCAACAAGGGGGGAGGTGGGTGATTTTGAAATGTATCGTTGCAAAATTTTTTTTTAATATTATTATAAATTATTATTGTTGTGTAAATCATTATCAGAGTTAATTTTAATAAATAATAAATATATGAAAAATAAGAAAAATTACTTCATTAATCCAAAAAAATAATATAATTCTTATTTTTGGGGGTATAAGTCATTTTTGCAACGTTATATTTAGGGGGGGGGGTGTTGGTAATTTGTAACCAAATGCAACGAAGGGGGGGGGGGGTCAAAAAACCCGCAAATCAGTGTAACGTTATTTATGGATGATCCCATTTTGTTTTTGCTTTAAACTCAAAATTTTCAGCATCATTTTTGAGTTTATTTTTATTTTACGCTTCGCACTCGATAATTAATTTTTAAAAAGTAGCTTTCAGACCAAAGAAACTGGCTATTGAAAACTTAAATTTGGCAACTAAAAAAACTCGATTTAAACGATTCACAAAAATTTGATTCTGATTTTCTTCTAATTTTCATTAAAAATATTTACCTTTTCCCTCATATTGCAAACTTCAATATTCTAAATAATTAATCAAATAATTTAATTTTTTAAAATTATTTACGGGAATTTAACAAACATTTTAATTACAGTTTTTCAAATGACTAATTTTTTCCATAATTTCCAAGTTAAATTACATTCAAGACTTGAATAATTTTTGTTAAATAACTATTTAAATACTTGTTTCTTTTTCCACAGGAATAAAAATATTTTTAATGATTACTGTGTAAAATCTTTTTGAAAATTAACAATTTCTAAAAATTACAACTAATACTTCCAAAATTCAATAATTTAATTGTTCAAATTTTTAAATAAAACTATTCAAAATTTTAGTCATTTTTTAAGAAAATAATAAATTAATTATTTTACAAAGAATTTTCTATTTATGAAGATAATTAAATTTTTTACAAAAAAAGTTTATTCAAATTCAAGCTTTTGAAAATAATGGAAGTACAGTGAAGAATTTTATTATTTATGCAGATAATTGAATTCTTGCCAAGTATTTTATTAACATTTTTGAAAATAAATTAATTTTTGCGAAGAATTATATTAAAATCCTTGAAATTTATTTAATATTTTTAATGAATTGAATTAATATTGTATTGAAAATAATTTAATTCTTATAAAGAATTTTAACAAAACTTTTTAAAGTAATTAAATACCTACATTTGAAGAAATTTTTTAAAATAATTTAATGCAGTCAAGAAATTCTATAAATTGAATTAAAAATAATTTTATTAATTTATTTTATTAAAATACTTGAAATCCTGCGATGAGTTTTATTAGTTATGAAAATAATTTAATTCTTTTAACGAAATTCATTAAAAGATGTTGCGAAGAATTTTATTACAAACTTTTTAAAGTAATTTAATTCTTTCAAGGAGATTAATTAAAATTGAATAAAAAGTAATTGAATTTTATTAAAGCAGTAGTTAATTTTTGAAAAATTCTTTGAAATAATTGAATCGTTTCTAAGAATTTTATTAAAATTTTTTGAGAATAATTTTTTTATTTCAACTTTCGAATTTAAACAGGGAATTTAATGTGGTAACAATTTGAAAAAAGTAGCTTTTAGAGTCAGAAATCTAAAAAAAAGTATCCAAATATATAGTATCAAATCGTAAAAACAAGTAGTAAATAGTTGGTATTAGTAGATGAGTGTGTTTGTAAAGTCATGAATTATTTTTGAATTATCATGAAACTATTTTGAATCGCAGGTGACTGGAAGTAAGGCTCCTCAATTAAAGCGTCTAGGACAATGGTTGATGGAGAATCCAATGTTCGACGTGGATCCAAAATGGGCCGAATTGGTGAAAGAACGTGGAAATCTTCCTCACGATCTGCAGAAGAGACTACCGGGTTCCGAGCGAAATGGCAACAAAGGAAAGAGTCCAGGAAGACCGCCAATGATGCCGAGTCCAACTGGTCAACAATCGGTGAATCCAGCAAATCTCGCGGCCACATCAATGGCGTCGAGTCTTAATTTCCCAGCACTCACGAACATCAACAGTTCGATTCTCTCAGGACTCAACCTCGGGAATTTTGATCCGAAGAACAATCCTCTCCTCATTCCGTTCGGTGGTCTACCAAATCTAGGCGCCCTCGGTGGCCTGGGTAACCTCGGCAGTCTGAGTAACATGAGTCTGACAAATTCCCTCTTTGCCAATCTCGCCGGTCTCGGTCTGCCCTCCCTCGCCGGAATGGAGGCCGCACTCGGAGCAACCGCAACCAGCACAGCCGACACGAACGTCGTCACATCCGCGAGCAGCAACAAGCTATCAACCAGCACCAGTAGTTCTAGCAAATCACGCACCAAAATGGAACCGCCGACCAGCAAATCATCAGCACCATCGACATCGACCGCCTCAAGTCTACCCACAACCGCACCGTTCCCCTTCTTCTTCACGAATCCTAGCCTGCTCTACACTCCCCTAGGTCTCGGTGGTCTGGGTCCCGGCGGTCTCGGCCCCTTCTCCATGCAGCCCGGCAACGTCTCCTCCACCTACGAAAGTCTCGCGCAATGCGGTTTGCTCAACACCCCCACGTCCAGTGCATCCACATCCTCCTCTCGAAAATCCACCTCCGCATCGACCTCGAGTTCAAGGCGCGATCCCGAACCCATGAAGCGCAAGGAACCCGAGAAGAAGCCCCGCTATCCCACCGATGGCACCAGTTTACAGCAGTTCGTCGAGAACGCCCAGCACGAGGAGCGCAAACGAATCGAGGCCCAAGAGAAGCGCGAAGCCATCGAACTCAGCGAAATCGCCGACCTATCGGCCCGAATCGAACGAAAAACCAAGGAACAAGAAATGAAGGAGGCTCTCGAGCAGCTCAGTAGATCCAGCGCCGAACTACTCACCCGCAACTTCATCGACGAACGCCCCGCCAAACGGGGCCGAAGTTCCGATCCTCCAGAACCACAAATTCCCCCCTCACTCCAGGTCACCCTTGAGCCCGTCTCCAAGAAGCCGAAACCGAGCGAGAAAGTGGAAAGGGCCCCCGAGTTGATGAAAATCATCGAAAGGGCTGAAAGGCCCGAAAGGATCGAAAGGATCGAAAGGATCGAGAAAATTGATAAGGGCGAAAGAAGTGAAAAAGCCGAGAGAATCGATAAAGGCGAGAGAGTCGAAAAAGTCGAAAAAGTCGAAAAAGGCGAAAAAGGCGATAGAATCGAAAAAGGCGACAGAATCGAAAAAGACGACAAAAGCGAAAGAATCGAAAAGGGCGAAAGAATCGAGAAAAGCGAAAGAATCGAAAAAAGCGAAAGAATCGAAAGATCCGAAAAAGCTCCGGAAGCGAAAATAATTGAACAAAAGGAGTCGAAAGTCGAGGAGGAGGCGAAAATGGTGGAAGTGGAAGCGCCACCAACACCGGAAGTAATCGCCCCGATTCCAAAGGAAGAAGAAGCATTAGGAAAAGAGGAGGAAATTGAAAAAGAGAAGAAAACCACAGCGCCAGCAAAAGACGAAACCGAACCACAAGTAACAGTCGAAACGAATTTACCAGTTGCGACAACGACGACGACGTCGTCGACGACAAATTTGACAAAAGCCGATGAGGAGGAAACAAAGTGTCAAAAAACAAAAAAACCACGCGGTGGTAAACGATTGAGTGTTGAACCACCGCCGGAGAGAAAGAATCTACGTTCCAGCGCGGGACGACAAGCGCGAGCAGCCGCCGAACGTCAAGCGCGAATGGAAGGTGAACAACACGCTGAACATCAAGAAACTCATGGTTCGGGTGAGTGAGGACACGTTAAAAAGTTAACAAGTGTTATTAGTGATGATAACGCGAGTGCACAACGTAAAACTACAGTTCCGCCCAAAAACACTAAAAAAGTTGTTGTTGTTGTTGAAAAAAAAGTGATCGTCCGACGTTCGACACGATCGACAAAAAAGAAGAAGAACTCTAACATTTAGAGAAATTCTTCGAAAAACTCTGATAATAGTGAAATTATTTAACAAAAAAAAAAGATGAAAAACAGGAACGAAAAAATTTGGCTAAATAGAATATAAATAATAAACGTGATAAGGCAAAAAAAAATACGATTACTATCGTAAATTCTTTTTTGCGTGATGATGAAATAAATTCTTAATTACATAATAACGTTGTAATGAAATATAATTTTTGTTAAATTTACTATCTTTTTCCAACGCATTGGTTTCGACCAAGGACTGTTTTATATAACTGCGCTATTATTATAATATTATTAACATTATTATATATATTATATATATTATCGCATAATAATTGTAATAGTGCGAAGACCGTAAATCAAGTAATTAACTTAAAGAAAAAAAACGAAAGTGTAAATATTTTACGATCCGCCTAGATATCATAAGTAAATCGTGTACTTGGAAAAAGTGTATATAATGCAGTGTACTTTTAATTATAATATTAGGTAAAATAATAAAAAAAAACGGCTTCTTTTGTTGTTTGCAAGTATTTTCGTTAATCTTTTTCTGTTTGAACGAAAAGCTTGAGTTTTTTTTAAAGAAAATAGGTGATGACTTTGTTCGACAAAAATCAAGTGTGTGACGAAAAATTTTTTTCCATGAATAGCTGCTTGAAATTTCAAAAAAATTTTCTTTTACGACATTTTACGAAATACTTTTATATATACTGTTTTTTTTCTTTTTTCTGACAAATTTTTTTCTTTGCCTACTCGATGAAATGATAAAAATTTTAATTTATACACTATTTTTGAATGAATTTATTTTATTTTTTAAAATATTTTTCTCATGCTTCTTTCTTTTTTTAAAGAAATAAATTGACAGACAGATTTTTTGACTTGAGCAGCTGTCAAATTGAGAAATGTTGTTTCTCGTTAAAAATTTGACTTATATTTGAATTTTCTGTAAATTTTCAGAATGTTTAAAAAAAGGAAATAAAAAAAATAAATAAAAATCAACTGTACTATTTGTGTCAATTTTACATGTACGCTTTTGTGTTTAACAAAAAAGAAATTTCATGAATGCGCTTGGCTGTGTTTTTAAATTTCAGCATTTTTGTTTCCAATATATTTAAAAATTATTATTATTATATATAAAAAAAGTTTCGGTTGTGATTTAAGTCTGTTTATTGTCAATAATGAATGAGAAAAAAAAGGAAAAAAAAATTGTAATTAATTTTTAGACAATTCAAACTGAAAATAACGAAATGCAATAGGTGTAATAAAGTGACGAAATGTAACTTTCTGAAATTTGTAGTGTTCTGAAAAAAGTGAATTTCTTAAAAATAAAAATAATTACAAGTTCCAATTTTGCATTTTTATTACATAATTTATTTTTTCGATTTTTATAGAAATACAAAAAGTCAATTGTTTATTTAAGAAAAATAGAAATTTTTCTTTAAAAAAAACTAGTGATTTAAATGAAAAAATATAGTTTTTAAAATAAAAATTTTAAATATGGTTTAAAAAATATCTTTAAGATTCTTAGGCATTTGTTGGTTCATCAATTAAACGTACGTAATTTTTACCAGATGGCAATGACATTGTATTTATTGATGATGTAAATAATTGTTTTGCTTCTTCATCTGGAATATTTGGTTGTATCATCACTGGATCTCCTTTCTAAAACAATTAATAATTTTTAACAATTTTTTCTTAACTGTTTTAATAATATTTCTTTTTAAATGTTTTCAATTTGAAAATTAATGTATTGAAAATCTTGAATTATTATAAGAAGAATTTTACCAAAAAACTTGAAATTTGAAAATAATTTTATTCAAATTTTTTAATTCCTTCGAAAAATTTTATTATAATTGTATTAACCCACGGAGCACATACGGGGTCTGTGTGACCCTGTTTTTTAGTTGAAACTTAAATTTCTTTAAAAAATTGTAAAAGTAATTGTTTTAGGTTCTAATAACAAGTTCCAATTCTCCCCGAGTATAATGCTCCAGGCAGTTGTCGTCTAGATTTCGTCAAAAAATAAAAGTTCTACCTCCATCAACTTGCAAAAAATGCTTTTTTTACAAACTGCAGTATGGAATATATTTTTATTTTATTATTCCACTATTGAGGAGTACAAATGTAAAATATTAGTTAAAAATACTAAAAATTACAAGAACTACAATTTTTTAAAAAATCTAATTTTTGGCGTTTTTCTGAGAAATTGGCAAACTTTCAGTATTTTTTTTTATAATAAAATATTTTTAATTAAACTTTTCAATTGTAGAAACTTATTCTTTAATGTTTAAAGAATATTAAACAATTTTTTTTATGTAAATTTAATAATAAGTTTTTAAATGGTAGAGTTTGGAAAAGTAAACAGGGTCACAATGACCCTGTAGTGTGTTTCCTGGTCGAAAAAAGAGGTGTGTGCTCCGAGGGTTAAAAATAATTAAATTTTCGCGAAAAATTTTATTACTTATGAAAATAATTAAATTCTTTCGAATGATTTCTTTAAATTTTCTGAAAAGACTAGTTTTTTTTAATAATTGAGGGTTCACGGGCAATAAGGGGACGCGGAGGCTTTTCGTTAGCCCCTCGCGCAGCCGCAGAATCGCTGTACGCGGGGACTTTCACTTCCATGCGTATCCCCTTATTGCACGTGAACCCTCAATTATAATTGAAAATTATCACAGTAATTGAATTCTATAATTAATTTTTTTCAAGTTTTATAATATTATCATGTTTGTTAATAATTGCAATTAAACATTTAATTACTGAATTATATAGAAATATAAAAAAAATAATTGAATATTAAATAATTGAATAAAAATTGTACCGAAAATAATTGAATTTCTTCGAAAAATTTGATTCTTTTTAAAAATAATTGAATTTTTATAATACATTTTATCAGAACTTTTGAATTGAATTGAATTGAATTGAATTCTTAAAAAAAAATGTATTCCAATTTTCGAAAATAAACAATAATACTATTATTACTAAATTTTATTAAAATTATGGATAGAAAATTAAATTCTTGTGAATAATTTCTTTGAATTTTTTTTGAAAAGAATAGGTTTTTTAATAATTTTAATTGAAGAATTGGAAAATAATTGAATGATTGAATTCCTGAGAAGAATTTTATTATTTATAAAAACTGCAACAAATTTTATTCAATTAATTTGAATTTAAATTAAAAATTTTACCTAATTAATTTTAATTTGTCAATTAAACATTTTATTTAATTTTAAATTTAGAATAATTTAATAAATTACCTTCCAATCAGCTGGAGTTGCTACCTTGTATTTATCAGTCAGTTGAAGTGACTCCAAGACACGAATAATTTCACTAAAAATAAATTAATTATTTGAAATTAATTATTTACATATCATTCAAAAAATAATTATTAGAAATAAAATTCGTACTCAAAGTTTCGTCCCGTTGATGCTGGGTACAAAATGGACAACCGCATTTTTTTATTCTGATCAATAATAAAAACTGATCGAGCAGATACAGGAATTCCTGCACTGTCAAGTTCTTGAGGATCCAACATGCCGAGTTGTGTGACAATTTTTCGAGATTCGTCCTCAATTATTGGATAAGGAAATTCTGTTTTTATACCTCCGTATGCTTTAATATCCTGTCAAATTTTTTAATTGAACAAACAATTGAATATATTGCTTCCTCATAGAGGAAAAATTGTACTTATTTATTTATATGAAAGTAAAGTAATTTTTTTGAATTAAAATGAATGCAAATCAATTGAATCGTCAATTATTAACCATTATTAACACAACATTATTATTTTTAACATTATTATCTTAATAATTGTCAATTTAATCAACAGCACTTGAAAGTCGAAACAAGTATTTTTGAAAAAGAATTAATAAATTAATAACCTTAATCCATTCTTTATGAGAATTCACTGAATTGCAGGATAGTGCAATAACTTTAACACCAAGTCTTTTAAATTCGGGCATTAATTTTACAACTCTCGCCAGTTCGGTAGTACAAACTGGTGTAAAATCATGTGGATGAGAAAATAAAATACCCCATCTGAGAAAAATATAAAATTCCTTACAGTTAAATAAAAAATAAGAGAGAAGATAAAAGAAAATAGGAAAGAATAAAAGAAAATAAGAAAAGATAAAAGTAAAAGAAACAAAACAAATAAAAACAAAATTGTTAGGTTAGAAAATGATAAACTTACGAGTTACCCAACCATTCGTGAAATTTTATTTTTCCAACACTCGTGTCAGCCTCAAAATCAGGAAATGTATCACCCAATTTAATCATTTTGTCCTTTACTTAAAAAAACTGGTAAAACTAACGTAGAAAATTTTGTCAAATTGTGGAATTTTTATTTATATTATACGAAATACCGATACCGGCAATCATCAATTTCCGTTTCCGTGACAACGTCGCCATTTTTACGGAAGTTGCGGAGCGCCATCTGTCGGTTAATTTCATTTGAATTTGAAGCAAACAAAAAGTAATAATACTAATTTTTAGAATCAAATTTTATTATTTCTGAAATGTTTTTAACATTTTCTATTAAATTAACGTTTCGTTTTGCTTTACCGATTGATAAATCAACGCTAATAAGGATTAGAATTATAAAAAAGAATTTTCATTTTCTGGACAGTTTGAATTTCAAGCGGACATCTTCTCTGCTCACTTCCATGCGCAACTTCAGTTTGAATCGAAATTTCGCAACAATCGGATCGCGCTCCCTGTTAATGTCGATTTATCGTTACTTTTTTCTATCCTAATTTTAATGTATTTTGTGGTGAATTCAACCATCCAACCACTGGATTACTGATTTAGTCAAAATTTAGGTAAACTATTCTCAATTTGTTGCAAAATCCGTGAAATATTAGTTTTCATTTATAACGACGTGTTGTCGGTTGTGAAAAGTGGATGTGCAGTGTTGAATTTGTTTATTTTTTGGTTTTTCTCCCGTATTCTTTGTTATCAGGTCGTTCGTTTAGTGATAGCTCATAATAATTATCTTCAAAAGTGTGATAAATACTTCAATAAACTGTAATTTCTGCAAAAAAAAAATGAATGTCAACAAAATGGCATTGTCTGATTCTCCCGCCAATTGTCCGGCATGTTGGATGCTACGGGGTTCACATATCTAGTTTCAAAACTTTGTGAAAACTTCCGTGTTTTCATTGTTGAATGCATTTTGTCAGTGCTTCTTATTAAAAGTATAATTATAGTCAAATAATTGATAATAAATGCCAATTTAGAGTAAAAATATTAAAATCGGATTCATTTGCAAACTATATTCGTCGACATTCCGTGTGTTTGATCATCGACTTTTTCTCATCAAACTGGCTACTTTGGTGAGTAAATTTATAACTTATTATTTGTTATCATGTATCATTATTTCTCTTTTTTTGTTATTGATAACATGATAACTCATTCAATTATCAGACCAGTTTAACATTACTTTATTAAATAAAGGATAAATTCTGCAATTTATTCTTTACATTCGTTTTTGAGGTTAGGTTATTTTATTTTCCTTTAATAAACTGGTTTGTTATTGATATAATTAATTCAATGAATTATCAGTTTGAATTTATTAAATAAAGAATAAGTTCCGCAATTTAATCTCTAAACTCATTTTGAGGTTAGGTTACATTCTTTTTCCGAATCTTTCTTTTTCTAATAAAACTGGTTGGAAAAATACAAAGTGAAGAAGAAAATCGTACAATAAAATAAGATCACGTATTTAATTAGAATAGATCGGGTAATAAATGGAAAAAATGAAAATAAAGTCGTGTAATATTTAACAAAATACAACGTTTATTAAAATTTAATTAAATTAGATTATAACTATAAATTACTCCTTTATTCTGTTCTCTTCGTAATTGCAACCTCCTTTGCACAGGAGGAATAATAAATAACATAAGGCCACTTAGTGCTATCATTACTCCTGCTAAATAAAATGCTGGATATGTCGTTCCATACACGTCTTTTAACCAACCTGGAAAATTATTTTTTTTTAATTAAAAATTTTATTCAATAATATTTTTTTTGAAATTAAAATTTTAATTCACATAAACGAAAATTGAATCAAATTACCTCCAATAGGTGGTCCTAAAAATGACGCGATACCTTGAAAAAGCAAAAGTAAACCAAATGCATTTGTTAATTTATCGAGACCAAAAAGATCAACTAAAATCACAGATGTAAGTCCCACGTACGCTCCAGCAGTGAAACCAAATACTATAGCATAAATTGCCAGACTTGTAAAACCCTCACAAAATGTACTAAATGCCGTCGCTGAAATAAGTTTTTGGAATTAAAAATAATACCTAGTACCTACTCTTAGACAATTTATTCTTTGAGAAAATAAATTTTTAAAAATATTTACCAACGCCACAAAGTGTCAAACACAAATTGTAGACAATTAGTCGATTAATCCAGGGTTTATCAGAAAAATATCCAAGAATAATACGACCGAATGTATTTGCCACTCCAATAATTTCAATGAAATACTTAGCAGTATGAGTGTCCATATGCTTTTCTTGAGCTAGAATCTGAAAAATAATTTTTTTCCCCGTGAAGAATGAATTATCTATAAATTTAAACTATATTAACTATAATTAAACGATTTAAACTCTAAACTATATATTTGTGACAGCGCAGGAGAAAAGGGGACCTGTCAAAAAAAAAATTTTTTTCCATAACACTTGAACAAACAACTTGTATTAAAAATTCAGTTCCTTTTTCTCATGCGACTTGACATTATTTATTCCAAAGTATATAAACTTTGAAAATTTTCTCACCGATATATAATAGAAAGGTATATAAAAGCCTATGCTAGTGAAAAAATTCGATAATGTAAAGATAATATATATTTGGTCTTTTAATAACGAGAAATCCAACATTTTCAAAAATATATTCATTTTTTTCTTCTTTATCGAAACCACTTCGAATTTTTGTTTCGTTCCATTTGGTAAACTTTTAATTGACTCGTGAAATTTGAGATCTTCAACACTGTTCAATAGTGACTCTCTGTAAATTGTTAGATATTTTTAATTTCATGAATTTTTCCATTTTTTGAATTAATTTCTTTATGAAATTCAATTTTTCCAGGATTTAATTATTTTAAAATTCAGTTTTTGTAGAACTTAATTTTTGTATAAATTAATTTTTTTACAACTCAATTTTTTTAGAATTTAATTTTTTTTATTTAGATAAATTTTTTTTATTAGTAATAAAAAAAATTCTACTAACGGTCGGTGGCGAAGATTATCCACGCTTCCTTGATAAAAAATATCCCGCCGATTCATAAAGCCACTGCCAAATGATTTTGCGGTGTTTTCTCGATTTTTCGTGATTAGAATCGGTTGACTTAGAGCTATTCTTATATTATGTGCTGTATAATTATTGTCTCCGAAATATTTCGAATTCACGTTACTGACACTGTGTGGTCGATGAAATCCATTTAATTGAATAGTTTTTGTTTCCGTTCTGCTTTCCTTTTGCATTTCCTATTAAAGAGAAAAATACGTTTTAATTGTAGAATTTTACATCAAATTTTTGAATTATTTAATTTAATATTAATTTAGTAAAATTTATTTTAGTAAATAAAAGATTAATTAAGTAGAAAATTTTTCATGTAAAAAAATATTTAAGTAAATAAAAAATTAGTTTTGTAAAGAATTAAGTAACAAACTATTCTTCTTTTAAATTAAGTGCTATGTATAATTATTGTCTCCGAAATATTTTGAATTCACGTTACTGACATTGTGTGGTCGATGAAATCCATTTGATGAAATAATATTTGTTTCCGTTTTGATTTCTTTCTGCACTTCCTAAAAAAATATACATACTTTAATTACATAATTTTACATGAAAGTTTTGAATTATTTAATTTAATTTAAATTTATTTAAGAAAATAAAAAATTAATGAAATGAAAAATTCTTTAATTAAAAAATTAATTAAGTAAAAAAAAGTTCTTTTAGTAAAAAAACCAATTAAATAAAATATTATTTTAGTAACAAATTATTTTAATTAATAGAAAATTAATTTAGTAAAATATTCAGAAAAAAATTATTAAAGTAAAAAAATTAATTAAGTAAAAAATTAACTAATGAAAAATTCTTTAATTAAAAATTAATTCAGTAAAAAACTAATTAAATAAAATATTATTTAAGTAAACATATATTTTAATAAATAAAAAATTAATTTAGTAAAAAATTGAGAAAAAAATTATTAAAGTAAAAAAAATTCTTTTAGAAAAAAAATAATTTAAGTAAAAATTTAAATAAATAAATAAATCAAAAATTAATCCAGTAAAAACGAATTAAGTAAAAAACTATTTAAGTAAAAAATTAATTAACGAAAAGAATAATTAAGAAGAAAATTCTTTAATTAAAAAATGAATTAAATGAAGAATGCCTCAATTAAAAAATTATTTAAGTGAAAGAATTTCAATTTACTCTCATGGCTATGGATTCTTTCTTCTTAACTGGCTTTAATGGCCTAAATAGAATTCCAAATATTATGCAATTTAAAACGATGCTGGAGATAATCATCATTGTTCCTCGCCAACCGAACGTGGCAACTAAATATTCTAACAATGGCGTAAAAACTAGAGTTCCTAATCCTGAGCCACATACTGCAATTCCAGTTGCCAGTGAACGATATTTTTCGAAGTAACACGTGACACTCACTATCGCCGGCAAATAAATTAAACCAAAACCAAAACCTAAAAAAAAGAACGAATAATAATTATTCTTGGAAATATTCTTTTCTTTTGAAAAAGCAAAACAAAGCAAAGCGAGATGCAAAACATTATAATTATAATAATATAATAATTAACAATAAAAATAATAGAAATTTTGAAAATAACCAAAATTTTGAAAAAGCCCCTTTTTTCTCAAAATTAAATAAAAATTTTGATTATTCAAAAGATTTGGAAAACTTTGAGGAAGAGTTTGGCTTACCTCAAAATAAATCCTTCGCAGCTCGCTTTTAAGGAATGAATTATATTTTATATTTTTATACATAGTTTAATTTTTTGTAGTTTTTTTTTTTGTTACACTGAAAAAAATTTCAAAAATTGTTCCTTCAGAGGAATATTAATATTTTACTCGCGTACCTTTAGGTGGTATTAAAATTTTTGCCAGATGTGAGGAATAAAATTTTTATGAAGCATAAAATGTCCACAATGCATAAACAAGAGAGTAAAAAAAATACTATTCCATTTGAATTATGGCGAATTTAGATAAAAACAAAATTTATTGTCAATAAATAAATAAATTTTTGCAGAAAATTGCGAAATTAATAATAAATTTAATAAGTAACAATAAATAAATTAAATTTAATAATTAAGATTTAATTCAAATTTAGACAAAATTCATTATCGATAAAAAGTAATTTTTAATAAATAAATTTTGTTTCCCAAAAAAGTAAAATTATTAATTAAGTATGTACCTACCTATAATTAAATTTGTTTATTTATTAAATTTCGGAAAACTGCGAAATTGGGAAATAATTAGTAACAAATATATTTAATAATTAACATTCAATTTAAATTCTGATAGAACTTATTATCAATAAAAAGTAATTTAGTAAATTATGTTTCCCAAAAAAGTGAAATTAATAATTAAGTACCTATAATTTAATATATTTATGTATTATTATATAATGTGGACATTAAACCAGAAAAAACCTTCCAGCAATATTTTTTCTTATCATTTCATTAAAACTTTATAGTTATTAGAGTATTTAATAATTTTAAAGAAATTATACTTAAAAAAATAATTCAAAAAGTAGAATACTACAAAAAAGATAAGTATTCCGATAAACTGTTATATTTGATAAAATATACAATTTCATAATAAAACAATTATTTCTAATTTAAAAATAATTTTGTTAGTTACTTATCAATTTATTTTCCAACAAAGAACTATTATTTCCCTGATATAATATTTGAATATTGTATAGGTATAAAAGTATAAAAATAGAATTTATTTTTTTTTATCAGAAAATTTTTTCAGTGTATATCATTAAAAAAAAGACAGGTGTATTTTATTTGAGAATTGTCAATATAATTATAAAAATAAAAAAAAGGAAAAAAACAAATTTTTCTTACCAGTTCCAACGCCTATTGAAAGACACAATGTTAAAACATTTTCAGCCCACATGCTCACTAGAAAACAGAAGCTTGCCAATATAGAACCTACGATCGTTACTAATCGGCAACCATATTTATCAACAAGAGCGCTTGCAATTGGACCTAAAAAATTCTTAGATTCTTAACACATGCAATTCGCTAAAAGAAAATATGTTAACTTTTTAAAAATTAAATCTAGAAATTCTTTTTAAATAATTTTAACTAAATTTAACTAAATAACTATAATTTAATCGACTTTTTTATTTTAATTAACTTTCCAAAATTTAGTTATCGAATATTTATATTTATAGAAAAAATAAGAAAAATAATAATAACAATATTAATAATAATAATTTTAATAATATTAATAATAATAACAAAAATAATAATAATAATTTGCAAATAATTTTTCATATTAAAATTTTACTGCCAAATAAGTTTTTGAAAAAATACTCACCGGAACTTAATGTAACGCCAACTAAAATAGAAACTATCCAGGCAGTCTTTCCTGCTCCTTCTTCAAAATGTTCCATAAGCTTCTCGAATAATACACCAAATGAATATGTCACACCGTCGGCTGAAAATTAATTGTACAAAAGTTAAAAAAATTAATTAAACATAAAAATATCAAATAAAAGAATTTAATTGTCAATCAGAAAATAATAAAATATTACAGACAAGGAATTTTGTAAAATAAATTAATTATCATAAATAATTAATTAAACAATTAGGAAAATGAATTAATTAAAAAATTTGGAAATGTTAATAAAAAAATGTAAATAAAAAAATTTTATTAACAAGTAGGAAACGAATAAAATATTATAGAAAAGTAATTAGAAAAAATTAGGAAAATTAATTATTAGAATTAATTAATTAAAAAATTAGGAAAATTAATTGAGGGCTCGGATCGAAGAACCGACGCTTCGCAATGTTCTGTGCGTTTACAAGCGTCGGTTCTTCGATCCGAGCCTTCAATTATAAATATTAATACAGAAGAAGATAAATAAAAAAATTTTTGGCAATAAAATATATAGAAAAAGAATAAATTGAAAAAATAAATAATAAGAAAAAGTAATATAATAATTAAAAAGAAAATCTATATTATAAATTTATCTCTTTCTCTTTAGCCAATTGCATTTTACTATTCTTAATATTTATCCTTGACTCTGATCAATAAAAGTGTTTCGTGTCGAATTCTTTTCATTCACTTTAAGTGCACGGTTGAAACTTATTTCCTACAATAACGATCTGAAAAGGTAATTTTTATATAATATATATACTAGCTTGTTTCTCTTTTTTGAGGGCAAAAAAAAAAATAATTCTCCTCCTGAGATGTTTTACACTGATTAAAAAAAAATCTTACGCAGTCTATTTTCTTTGCCTCTTAAAAAAAGGGTAATAAAACTTAATTTTCTAATTTAATTTTACGAAAATTCCAAAGTTCGTGACAAAGCGACATTATATCACTTGAATATGTTCTCCTTTCAATCTAATTTATTCCCAATTAACTATGCAAACGGAATTAATTATTCCATTTTATTGCACCTGTAAAAATCTTTTCTTCTTTTCTCCTACATATATACGGGAATCGATCTATAAAATTAGATTTTGAAGAATTTTCTTGAATTTTCTTTTCTGTGATGTGATTTTATTCTTTCTTTTTGATTTTTTTATTCTTTTCCTCGTTTTCTTCAATTTTTTTATTTTCTGTTTTAAATTTGCCTGTTATTTTAAATTTATTTATTTCGTATTTTTAATTTAGTTAAATTTGATCTCTTATTTTAAACGATAAATTTTTTATATTTTATATATTGTCATTAATTTTAACTAATACATTTTTTGTTTTTTTTATATTAATTTTAAAAGAATAAATTTGTAATATTTTTTTTTAATTTTTAAGAAATTAAAAAAATTTGTTTAATATTAATTTTAAAGAATAATTTTTTTTTCTTTATATGAAATAACGTTTCGCGGAATATTTTTATTTATGAAACCTAAACTGCGGAAAAATTGGATTATGTAAATGGTTGAAAGTGAGACGATTAGAAAATTAATAATCAGCGTTGTTATAATGTTTAGAAAATAATTTTTATAGAGAATAAAAAGTTATTTCAGTTTTAAATGCTGACGTTCGTAAATTGTGCAAACAATATATCTTTAAAGGTAATCAGCAACTTCGCGTGACTTCTTTAGCCACTTTCTGGATAAATTTCTTATAATTTGTATCCGGTTAGCAATTATTAGCCATTTAATTTTTATTTCCTAATAAATTGAAGGGAAATTTTCGAATTTACGACAATTCCTTTTAAAGTTATCTCGTCAGGAAAATATTTTTTCCCTTTATTATTCCGAAATTTTCGACTTTACAAAAATTCATCTCGAATTTATTCAAGAAAATATTTTTCTCTTATTATTTTATTCCCGCTGTTATTTTATTTCTAACTATTATTTTCGAATTTGAAAAAAAATATTTTAACCACCAGTTTAAAATTATGTCTCTCTCTCCACGTGTAAAAAAAATGATCTAGAAATCTCACGTGTCTTCGATATTTTATTATGCATTTTAAGTAGATTGTTTCGCATTGCAGGACTTTTCGCAATCTACTTTGTTCCTAATTATTCCGAGTACCTCTATCTAGTGCGCAACTTGATTATGATGAAAACTTGTTGTAGCAAAAAATTAAAACAGGCAAATTCCGCGCACAAAGTGAGTGATAAAATTACTCTTCTTAAAAAAAAAGAAAAGTAAAAAATGCAAAGGGGGAGAATAAATTACATTAAAACACGCGATACATAAAATAATTATTGTCATTAGATTCGAAAATAGTTTTTCTTTCATTTATATATATGATTCATTTATAGACACAAAAGGATTAGAAACCTGATAAGGAATTATTAACTCCGAACATTTAATTTCCAATTAACTGAAAAAATAAATAAATATTTTGTACTTGATAATTTAGGTTATTTTAAAAAAAAAATTCATTTAACAATTTAATATTTTAACTCATTTATGTTTTATTTATTTACAAATAAATAAAAAAAAATAATAATAATAATTAAAAAATGCTTTTTAATTCGTTTATTTCAGTTTATTTTGATTAATTTTTTTAAATTTATTTTGATTCGTTTAGTTTAATTTATTTATTTGAACTCATTTAATTTTTATTTATTTATGTATATTTATCATTAACGGTCTTACAAGAAAAACGCGTTTTGATTCGTTTATTTTAATTTATTTTGATTAATTTTAGTTTATTTATTTATTTAAATTAATTTATTTAAAAGAATAATGCTGACGTTTACTCACTGACTATGTGTATCATGAAGGATCCTAAAACTACAAACCACCCCCACCCCCCATCTGGAGGTGGGGGTTGAGAATCATCTTCGGAAATCTCCTCCTCAAATTTATCATCTTCCGTATCTTCGTGAATTTTTTCAATTGTTCCATTTTCCCTCGTTCTCTCGTTTTCCGGAATCGAATGAGCCATGGCCGTGAATAAATAACTGCCGGAGAAAAAATAAACACATGAGGCATATTTATACGTGTGTAGTTGAAAAAGAAAAGAACTTGTAATTTTCTCTTTTTTTCATTAGCCAACTGAAAAGAATTTTCATTGTGCTTTGTTTCTATTATTCGAACTCCTTGAAAGTAGATTTTCTATTTTTTCTATACATAAATGCAAACGTAAATTTTGTATTTTTTACGAAAGAATTTATTTCAAAATTTTCGCCACTATTATTATTAATAAAAAGAAATAAAAATTGCTATTGTTAAAATTTTTTGAAAATTAGAATAATAATTTTTAATTTAATGATTACATTATTAGTTTGTAAATTAGAATAAAAAATAATTAGAAATTGTTTTAATAAAAAAAATAACAAATTATTTAAATAAAAATTAATAAGAAATTATTTTAATAAAAAGTTATTATTAGAAATTATTTTTTATATACAAAACAAAAAAAGGTTAGAATGTTTTTGAATACTTTTTAATTAGTTACTAATTAGGTATTTTATTTATTTAGTTACAAAGTAAAATTTACTAATTAGCTAAAAATAATTTATTGAATTTATTCTACAATAGAAGTTCTTCTAGTTAAAATACTATATAACAATCAAGATTTACGATAAAAGAAACAATTAACTGTCGTGAAAGTTTCAAAATTTTGACACATATTTTCATGGTTAGATTCGACACGCGTGTACTATAAATTTACCCCTCTTACAAAATTGGTTTTCTCACACTTTGTTTCTATAGTATATTTTTTGTCTAAAATTTCATCTAAAATTTAGTTTAAAAGAAATTTAAATAATAATAATAATAATAATAAAAATAAACTTACATTAATAAAGAACGAAAAAAAATGAGTAATCTCCCTTGATTCGTCCTTTGATGGAGTGATAATTATTATGAGGATAAATTTGATGAATTGAAAAACGTCATCTTTATGGAAAATGTTCGATGAATTATTGGAAAAGGCATCGATGCCCACTACGTCTGATTCTGATTGAAGCAGTAAAGTGACTGTATGATAGTAACAAGGTCCTTCACCGAATACCCGATCTGGTATAGCACGTGTTCTTTCAATGATTGTGCAAAGAACTTGTATACAGATGGTGGCGCATTTGTCTCACTAATCGCAAACATTGCTATCTTTCTTCATTATCGTTATTCTTTTCTAATGTCTAAATAAGACAATAATCTGCAGCAATTGCAATAAATTTGTTTTCTTTCTCTCTCTCTCTCTCTCTCTCTCTTTTTTCACTGTTTCTCATTGAACAATTTTATATTCCATTACCTGTAAGAAGATTGTAAAAGTTTAGATATATTATTAGAAAGAAATTTTATGCAAAAGAAAAGGTCAAATTTTCCTCTACGAATCTGTCATTGATTCTTTTTTAACTCATCTAGGCACAATAAATAATATAAATAAATTAATAATAATAATAATTAATAAATGCTAATAAATATAATTAGTATAAATCATAAAACGATATTATTGATTTCACTAAATATGTATTTAGATTTTTACTAAATTATGTAAAAACGAAAAAATTTTAAATAATTAAATTGTTTCTATATATTCCCAGCAATTCAATTTCAATAAAATATACGTCTCAAGAATTGAATTATTTTAATTAATCTATAAAATTCTTCGGAAGAATTTAATTATTTTCAATACAATTTAATAATTAAATTTATCCAAAAAATTTAAATTTTCTTGAAAATAATTGAATTTGTATGTTTACACTTTTTATTAAAGTACCTAAGTATTGAAAATAATTAAGATCTTATGAAGAATTTCTTTGAATTTTTTGAAAATTAGGAAGTTTTTTTAAAATACTTTTAATTGAAAATATTTTGAATTAATTAAATTATATAATACTTCTTTCAAAGTTTTTAAATCAACCGATATTGTTAATAATTGTAATTAAAAATTTGATTATTGAATTGTATTACAAAATTTTTGAAAATAATTGAATTTTTCTCAGAATATATAATTAATATTATAGAATTTTTTTAAATAATTGAATACTTTTGAGAAATTTTATAAAAATTGTATTGATAATAATTGAAATTCTGTGAAGATTTTTATTATTTATAAATATAATTAAATTCTCGCGAAGAATTTTTTAAAAATTTTATAAAAAATAATTGGATTTCTGCGAAGAATTTTATTAGAATTATTGAAAATTCGATTTTGATATTTATCTTTCTTTTTTTTTCTTCACTTTTCTCTGAATAACTTAAATATTATACTTGTGACTTATTCTTTTCATAAGGGACTGTAAAGGGACATAAGTTTCACTTACGTTAAAATTTAATAAAAGAAAAATAAATGTAAAATTAACTGGTTTAATTAACTTGTTTGGATAATATTTTTATTCTTTCTTTTTGGTCTTAATTCCCCCAACACGTACGCTTACATTCATCGCTATTATTCATCTTATAATTTGTGAATTAAAGATTCAATCAAATTCAATTGGTCAGAAAAAACAAATTTAACTTTAATGTAAAATTATCGTATTGCGTACGCGAACAAAAATATTTTCTTTTTTCTCATTTATATAAATTTCAATTTAAAAAGGAATGAAAAATTTTTCTTCATAACATAGAGGAAGAAGCATTTCTTCCGAATAATAGGAAAATTAGGGCTCGAATACCAGTGAAAGTATTTAAAAATACGGACTTTACGGACCAAAAATTAAAAATTACGGACCAATTACTGACAAAAAAATATAACCAGTCCGAGTCAAATAAGAGAAACACTTTACTTAAAACCATAAATTAAATTTTTCATAACTATAAAACATGAAGATATCCCAGTGATACAGTCATTATCAATTCAATTACTATTTTTAAGAGCTTTTAACTAAAATTCTTCTTTAAATTGATTATTTTTAATAATTTTCGAAAAAGTTCTTTGACAATTTTCAAATCCAATTGTTTACAATATTCAATTTTACGAAATTTCAATTATTCGTAAATTCTTCAATTAAAGAAATATTAGAAAATAAATATACTTAAAATGATATAAAAAAATTCAATTAAATTTTTCCAAAAAAATTAATTTCTAAATGCAATTATTTCTAAAAATTCACGCTTTATTGCTTTTAATATTCAATTATTATCTAAAATTTTAACTAAAATTCATTTTTAAATCAATTTTTATTAGAAAATTGTACTAGAATTTAATTATTTAAAATAATACAAAAATAAATAATTTATTGAATGTTTCTTAAAATTCAATTCTTATAAAGAATTTTATCAACAAATTTTTAAATAATAATTGAATTCTTTCGATGAATTTTAATAAAATTTTTAAGAATAATTACATTTTTCGAGAATTCGATTAAAATTGTATTAAAAATAATTGAAATTCTGCGATGAGTTTTATTATTTATGAAAATAATTGAATTCCTAAGAAGAATTTTATTATTTTTGAGCAATATTTAATTTTTTCAAAGAACATTATTACTCTTGAAAATAATTGAATTTCTGCAATAATTTGTAACTTTTCCAAAATTAATTTTTTTTTCTTGTTTTTAACTAAATGTAGGTATTATTTTTAATAATGTTTGAAAAAGTTCTTTAATTTTCAAATTCATTTGTTTACAATTCAATTTTACAAAATTTCAATTATTCATAAATTCTTCAATTAAATACATAATAAAAAATAAAAACTTGAAATAATTTTTTATTATTTTATGAAAATAATTAAAGGTTTGCGTAGAATTTTCTTAAATTTTTTTTTAAATAATATTGAATCTTTTGCAAAATTTTATTAAAATAGTAGATATTAAAAATCATTGAATTGAGGAAAATTTTTGAGAATTATTGAAATTTCGACAAGAATTTTATTAAAATTTTTGAAAATAATTGAATTTTTTAGAAGAATTTATTTATTTTATTTTTTATTTCTAAAGATAATTGAAACTTTGACGAGAATTTAAAAAAAATTTTGAACATAAATGAATTTCTGCGAAGAATTTTCTTATTTTTGAAAATAATTGAATTTCTGCAATCATTTGAAATTTCTCTAAAAGTTTCCAAATGATATTGTATAATTTACGAATTTTTCGTCTTTTCTTAATCAAATTACGGACATTTTAAAAAAAAAAAACTTACTTTTACGGACTTGAAGCAAATTTACCGACCTTATCGGGATTTACGGACCTAGTTCGAGCCCTGGAAAATTTTATTGAATATTATAATATTTTATACTTTTATATATATATATATATATATATATATATATATATATATATATATATATATATATATATATATATATATATATATAATATAAAAATTATTATTCAGGAAAAGAGTGTCAATAAGTTTATTCTTTCGAAAATTGAGAGATTTTCCCTCCGTTGAGGAATAGCCTAGATATTTTCAGTATATATGAATAGAATATAGACTTCCAGAATTTCCTGGACAGCCGCAACTGTATAAATATTCTCTTTCAGGAATAAAAAAATAATTTTCTCTTGAGAAAAAGTTAAATTAATGATTAGAGAAAAATTCAGGAAAGATACGTTTTTTTCAGTCGAAGGAAAAATATATACAATAAAGATTATTTTTTATGCATAAAAATCTAAAAATAAAACACGGACAAATATATTTATCGCGAAGTTTCTTTTTTTGTATATTGAAAAAAGCATGGAAATAATCTCGGATAATTTTATTGGCGACTAATTATTTTATTTACATAAAAAGTTAACATTCGATAACCCTGTATCGAAATTAGGAATTAATCGCAAAAAAAATTGCAATAAGAGAAAGAAATGAATATATGTTTGATGCAAGTTATTGCAATTTCTTTTCTTTTTTCTTTTTTTTTGATTAAATCTAAAGTTCAAGGGTCATCGTGACAATGAGAGTTATTATTGGTGGAATATAAATTATTGGCAGTACACGCGAAAGTTTTTTAAGAGACGCCATGAAAGCCGAGTGCATAAAATTACATTGGCAACCTGCGCGCGTGTCTATATAGAACTAATATGTTTGGCGAAGAGCCTTCACTCTTTCTTTCTCTTTGTTTTCAAACGACGTTCCAGACAAATAGCTCTTCATTTGCTCCAACGCAGATCAGAGCGAGAACAAAACTTTCTTTCTTCCTGAATTTGAAAATAATTTCATTTTCTTTATAATTATATTTATAGAAATTTCTAAAAATAAAAACTGAATTTATTTCAGAAAATAATATTACAATAAGAATAACTATAATTGTATATACAACGATATTCTCAAATCAAGAGATTTCCGGTTTTTCCAAGTCTAGAAAGATTGATTGTAATTAGATAAATAGGCATTTTTTTAATGATTAAACACACAATTATTATAGTACGTATTCCTTAAATAAACGATATTATCTCTTGATATAAAAAGTGATAACATTGCCACAGTGGATTTTGTAATGTCCTTTTATAATCTTATCAATCATGTGGATGTTTCCCGCAGGTACTATATAAAAATGAATATTCATTAAAATTCCGAGATTTCTTTTTTTTAATTAATTATTATTGTATTTAATTATTAATTAAATTAAATTTATTTTTTTTTCTGTTTTGTTTCTTTCAATTTTATATTATTTTATTTTATTAATAAAACCTGCAAAAGTTATATGTGCCTGTAATACAGTTTTCGATTCAATTACACAAGCCTGCAAAAAAATTAAAATTATCATGTCTTAGATCGAGAAGTCATTTCCCGCAGTATTTGGTGCGCTGAATCCGAATCTGGCAACGAAAACCTCCCATCACGTCAGGATTTTGAGAAAAATGGGGGTAAAGTCCCAAAAATCATGTTTTTCGCAGTTTTTGAAAATTTCTACCGGCTAAAAATCACACTATCCGTAAATACAACTATTTTAAAGAATTTTTGGATTCGCTTAGAATTTTTTACTCTGGGGTTTTCGGGATCGCTGATTACAAATATATGATGTCAAAATAAAAAATCTGTGGCAATTATTTAAATCGATTTTTAACAAGTAGTCCGACATACTGGATCCGACATTTGAATTTTGAAAATCAGACAACATATTCGTAATCAGCGACCCCGGAAATCCCCGAGTAACAAATTTTAAGCAAATCCAATCATTTTTCAAAATAGTTTTATTTACTGATAGTGTCAGTCAATTTTTATGCTTGACAACTGTTAAAAAATCATTTTTGACGGCTAATTTAGTTTGTTGTTAGGAATATCGCTACACTACCGGTGGAAATTGTGCTGACTCCTGGCAAAATTTGGAAAAGTTGGTGAAAAAAATTATTACTTTCACAGACTATTCCT